CAGCGAGCATTAAAGCGATACGAAATCAATTTTAATGTGGGTTTTGCAATACGAGTGTATAAACTGAATTTGTGCAGTAAATAATAATTATTGTTACGAAACAATTAACAAAATTGATTTTTGTGGTGAAGCTTTGTTTCTAGTTCAATTAATGCAGTTTTAGTGTCAAATGTATAACACTGTAGCGTAGTTTTGGAATGTAAAGCGTGTGCCCTCGATAAACGAATGCACCGACCAAAACAGATTGCATTGCACCTGTTCCAGTATGTTCCACACAAGTTTTTGCACCGTTCGTCGGAGTAATTCAATTTTAATAGAACAATCATAGGCTGCCAAGTTACAATATTCATTCAACTGATGTGATAGTACCTAGGTTCTCATTTGAGTTTGGTATAAGATTTACAAGAGATGAGAAAGCAAAGGAATTTCAATGTATAGTATATTATTGCACTTTGTAAACGTGAAACGTATCTTGTTCCAGCGTTGTTTTAATCACATGCCCAATGAATTTACTCCACGACGCTGGCACGTCCAACAAGCTGGAAGCAATTCGTTCTATTTGGTGCTCTGTTCATGAGCTGGCGTTTTTGTTCGCTTCGCGCCGGATTTGTTCTCGTTTTTTGCCACTTTGCCGTTACCCGTTGCGCCGCGCATTCGATGAGTGAAAAGTGAACTTGCGGTTTGCGCCAAGCATCAATTCAATTCGTTACGTCGTTAGTTGAGTTTTACCCGTGTGGCAGGACATCTAACAGGCTAATCAAAATTGTGTAGTACAAAGCGTAAAGCCCTAAACAAAGCGTCAGCAAAAAATGCATTTGCTACTTGAATAGTCCACAATCAATCTACCTACAAGCCGCGTTTTTATGCGCTCTGTTTTACTTTTCTAATGATAGTATACCTCGACAACTTCCACTGAACGCAGAAAAGTTAAACATTAACAGTTATAGAAAATTCATAGTCATTTGCTGCGCACCAAGCGTAACCGCAGGCCCGGAAGGAAAAGCAACAATTCAACGCAAAGAAAACCAATGAAAAAAACAGCTTTGCGCAGCGTTGAAATTGGACTCAAAGCAGAGAAACGGGCACATCAAGAAGCGCGCCAGTGCGCTAAACGCCGACTTTATCCAACTAAACGCTCTAGTTAACCGCGTTCATAAGCAATTCGTAAAACCAACGAAGATTCATTAATCATAAAATAAAAACATTTTTTAAAACGCAATTTGGTGCGATGAAATTGTTCTACATCGCATGTTTATAATTTGCACACCTTGTTACCAAATTGTGTTCTTTGCTGAATTCAATATAATAAAACCCCGTGCACTAAAATAAAAGCTTTCTATACAATACAATAATCCACAAAATGTCATTAATAACAAAGCGTAAATAAAATACAAATGGCATTGGATGGTAAATCAAAATCAACATGCCGGCAATGATATTAATCACGAACGCTGTGCGAATTAAACTGCACGCTTGATTATAACCTAACAAAAGCATCGAAAGACTGAGCGCACCGCAGCCAGCAGGGAGCACACGGAATGAACTTTAATTTCGAAACGCGAGCAAAAAGCACACGCCGCGAGGCGACGGTGGCGGCGGCGATGGCGTGCCTGGTGTTTCGGCCACGTTGCTATGCCGCCCCCGTGTGTATACATCGAACGCCGTCATGGCAACGCGAGGACGAGGTGAACCCAACATACCACACACATACACTTCAAACTTACATGCTATAAGATCGGATTAAATCACCCTGAAGGACATCGCCAAAATGTTTAAACCGGAACACACGCACGCAGATCATCAAAACCGCTAGAATTCGTTATTTGGGTTAATGACAATATAATTTCGAGAGCAGGGAATTTTTTATCAACAAAAAATGACAATATCCGACGTGTAACTTCGTGGCAAACATGACATATTGGCGTTTTGTATATTTTCCCTGTGATGGCTGTTAGTCAATATACCTCCAGGGTGGAAATATAAAATGTCGGGGCCTGTGCCACGTACAGGTGCGCACGAGCACACATCCATAAATTATGAAACGCCATCGACTACCGACTGAAGTTGCGCGCCTAAGAGAAAAAAATGTGTGCAGCGTTGCCATGGACAGCGATCGCAACCACCATGTTAGGTATTTTTTAATGTCGCCGCTTTGGATAATGCAACATCACAGACACAACTTAATACGTAATGGGAAATGTAATAAAGATACCAGCGTTGTTGGTGCGCTTCGTACCAACTACCGAACGATATCCAAGAGACAAAATATAACTATTATCGTGTTCCCGTAGAACCGGGGGGTGGGGGTTAGATATACCTACATACACGTTAGGTACATACGCTATTCATGAATACAACTATAATATTCATTTTATAAATTTGATTGCATCGTCGTCCTTTCTACGTTGTTGTGGTATAGAAAACTGGCGTGGGTGGACGATTTCGATAAGGATTATTACCCATGGACGAAACGACACGAAATGAGCGCACGACCCAAGCATCAAGATGTTGCCAGCACGCACAGGTATTTTTTGTTTGGTCACCAGAAAAATATAAGCGCAAATATGTGTATTACACACGCATGTATGGTGTTGGGAAATTTATAAATGCATAAATGATATGGAAAATCATTCGCTTAATGGGCTTTCCGTGTATGACACAATTTACACAATTATGAAACTAGCTAATATTTAATTAACTCTTAATGCATTAAACTATAAGGGTGATTCTAAGTGGAAATTATTACGTTTGCAAAATGTAAAAATGCAAAAATTGCAAAATTTTGTATTTAATCAAATAATTAATAATATTATCAATAATCTGAATGCAGTAAACTATTCGGTAAATGTACAAACGCGTCAATAAACCAAAAAATGTAAATGTTTGTTATCAATTACGTAAACCTAGAAGAAACATGTCAAAATGTGATAAAAATTGAGGCCAAGCCAAATTTAAAAAGTTATTCAGTAATTCTATTGTTGATGTTACCTACCAAACAATACCTACGACATAATCTGTGCACATAATTACCACAACAACAATAACAATGCTCGCGTCGATTGTTATGAAAAATTCGTACGCAAGCCAAGGTTATGCAATGGCTGATCGTCGGATTCGACTACCCATTGATTGCATTTTAAGTGCGATTTCTGCAGGAAAAAACAAAACAATGTGGCAATTTAAATACAAAATTCCAGCATTCAAAATGCAATTTTTCGTGTTTTGCAAAATGCTTCAAGTTCAGTCACAGCAAAATCATTTCTATTTTATTGCATTCGTATCGTAATCCATTTCTTGGCCTCAGTTGTGTGCACAGGGCGAACAAATTTCATTTCTTCCTGCGTTATTAATTAATAACGCAAAGAGAAATTGTTGCTAGTTGTTTTTCCACCTTATTCGTACATTTTCCGGCCGCCTTGGGCCCGTTATTATAATTTCATGCGATACGAGCGCCGCACGATATAATTTACTTTATAAGAACGATATTTATTGTTGTTGCCAACTCGGGTGCACGCCAATGCGAGCTCGTGCGTTATTATATCGTCCATTATGCCCACCACACATTCAAACACGCAGCCCAGGTGAGTGAAACAGGTGAAACGGTGCTACCATCAGCGTAGTTCCTCTATTTTCGTGCAAGTTAAGTTAACTTACACCGCAGCGCCACGATACAAACAATGGCCGGCGGCCGTGGCTTTATCGCGCCATTATTATTTTTGTCACATTTTCATCGCGTAACTCGAACGAAACAAAGTGATGGAGTAATTGCGTTCTATTCCCCGTTTGATGTTTGCCTGTTCTATTCGTTGTTGTTGTTGTTGTTGATGTTATTGTTGCGACAACCAAATGGCCGCATGACTCGGTCGCTGGTGTGACTCTGACGTAATGCGCCACTGGCGCTCACCGACAATGCTTTATAGTTTTATAGGATGTTACAAAAAAGCGAGCTCATTATTGTTAGATGTTAGATATTATGTGCGCGCGTTGAATTTATGTTAAATTTATGTAGCGTAAGTTACCAGTGTGCGTGCGTGTGCATTGTTTGAGCGTAATAATAGCTTCAGATGCAATTAGGTGGTTTTAATATGTTGGGCAATGAACATGTGCAATTAGATATAAAAATGCGTAGAAAGTAAACTTAATTATTATGCAAACTGATGATTTTGGTGATGAAATTAAATTTATTAAAAACTAAGTAGATAAATAGTAAATTTTTGATGTGCTTATTTCAGTAGTTGAGAAATTGTAACCTGTCTGCCAACTGAATGTGCCATAGTTTTTTGATAAATGCAAGTTTTTTAGCGCGGCGCATCATGAATGAATAAAGGCACCCGCCTCGGTAGACGGATGGCTGACTGCACGAAAGAATACACACCGACTACGTCGAGCGAACAGGAAGTCTATTACGGTTTCTTCAACGTTTTCACCGCAGCGCGTTCGCGCGTTCTTCCTTTGTTCCTACGATTTCTACGATTCTTCAGCACTTGCCGTGCTTCCTCTCGCACAATGGCGAGCAGCGCACGGATTACACAACTACACAACAAGTGTGCGTGTCTATCGAGAATAATAAATGCGTTTGGCTTGATGCGGAGCGCGAGCGCCGAAGAAATACCGATGTTTTTTTTCGGCTACAACAGGAAGACGCCACTAGCAAGGTGTTTCGGCCAAAGCGACAACAACTATGAAATTATTACTCTAAACCATTTTGTGATCCTGCGGGAGTTTTTATGTTTTGTACGTTTTGTAATCGAAATATGAATGATTTGATTCCTCCTACGAAAACGTGCCTCTTGCGTGCTCGACTCGGCACGACGTGATTACGGCTAGTCGGAATAGTAAACAAGCAGTCGTAAAAGTGAGCAATTTTCCGCGCCGCGCATAATTGCGATATCGAGAGACGATTACGAAACCTAATAATTGCCCCCGATGTAGTCAATCGCGCGTACGCCTTCCGATGACATAATAGGGGAAGCGATAATAGGATTATCCTCCGCACTCACCTCTTCTTCACCGGTGGCCGTGTTGACTGAGTCCATGCTCTGGCTGAGCGTAAGCGGCGCTTCCATAATATCCAGTTCGGTGGTCGGAGACGCAGCGGCGGCTGCGATCACAGGACTGCCGGCGGCGGTTGCGGCGGCGGACGACTCGACGGCGTGGTCGTGACGCGGCCTCTTCAGCGACGGCGGCGTGGCGGCGGTCGGCGGGGACAGATTGCCAACCAGCGGATGCCGGCCTCTCTTCGTGGCGGCGCCGGCGGTGGAACTGAAGGCGGTCTCCACGGTGTTCACGTTTGCGACAAGATCAACCTCGTAGAGTTGACCGCTGTCTGCAACTGGGTGTACAACGCACGCACATCGGCCGCCCTCCCCGTCAACAATATACTTCGCGCTGCTCCTGCTGCCGCAGGACGACACTCGTCAAACACTCGGCGCGCGCTGCACTGAAACGCACGCGGCGCGTTATCAGTCCTTGTGGTGAAAATAAACTGGCGTGTGTGTGTGTGTGTGAATGTAGGGTGATTTATTGCGGAGCGAGCGGCGAATTGTTTTTTATTGACTTTCGGAGAATGCAAACGACGAACGGCCAAGTTGAGACCCGTACGACGTGACGGTCGCAGCTCGACTGAAGAGATAGAGAGCGCGCGGCCGGCAACGGTGTATGATGCGGGGCCCGGCTGCGCTGCCCCCCACTTGCACGGAAACACGCCACGCCGGCGGCGCGTGTCAGAGCAAGATGGAAGACGGCGCTATGCAGGTGCGCCGCGCCGCACGGGGCCTACCTACACCACCAACACGCGCACGCCTCGGCGCGCACCCCGTAATCGCGCGGCGGTGGCAGCAGCGCACCTGTCCCGGTGTGTTTGTATTCTGGGGTGGGGCGCGCGCATACAGGTAAAGCGGCGCCTCACCTGGGGTGCGTGTGTGCGTTGGAGTGGGTGTGTTTCAGTAGGCAAACCAGCCAGCGATGTTTGTCGTCGTCGTTGTCGTGTGTGTGTGTTGGTGCGGCATGCGGTCGAAGTCGTGTCGGACGGGGGTGTGGGTGGGTGCTCGATCGTGTCGCCGGCGCTCACTCGCCTCAGACTGACGGGCGCCGCCGATAACGAGCGTTGCGAAACGATCGCGAAAGCTGGACGCCGCGCGCGCATCCTGCACAATCGCATATCACACACAACACGTATGAAACTCTACAAGATTTCGTAAACTAATCATTTTGCAGATTGAAGTCGCCTAACAGAAAATAACTGCAAAAGCAGATAAGAGGAACCAAAACTAAATAGTAAATAATATTTAACCTGCTCAATTAATACAATTAAAAGTTTTTATACCCCGCTGTGCGCATTGGCAAGCAGGTCGCGTCGGAATTGCAGGGTATAAGAAACCATAATCAAAATGAACCATTCGAGTGCGCTCGTAAATACTCAGATTATTCAACCACCGCCGTGTTATTGCTCTGACAGTCCACTTGCATCCATGTCCGCATTTTGAAAAAATACAAATTTTATGATTTATGGGACAAAAACACAAATAGCTATTAAATTCATGCATTTACGTAAAAATCAATTGATTGAAATAAGCACAATAACATTTCCAACAAAAATAAAATCATTTTCTTTAAGTTTTGCTTTGTTACAGGATTCTACTTGATGCTGAAACCGTTTTTTTTTTTATTTTTCTTAATGCGAGCATACGTTGATAATAAAAGTCTCTTTCCAAAAGTTACGCAATCGCCCGCTCCATGAATCGTGCCTTCACGAGCCAATTCTCAAGAATTAAATTGAAGTCGCCTAACATAAAATAACTGCAAAAGCAGATAAGAGGAACCCAAACTAAATAGTAAATAATATTTAACCTGCTCAATTAATACAATTAAAAGTTTTTATACCCCGCCGTGCGCATTGGCAAGCAGGTCGCGTCGGAATTGCAGGGTATAAGAAACCATAATCAAAATGAACCATTCGAGTGCGCTCGTAAATATTCAGATTATTCAACCACCGCCGTGTTATTGCTCTGACAGTCCACTTGCATCCATGTCCGCATTCTGAAAAAAATACAAATTTTATGATTTATTGGACAAAAACACAAATAGCTATTAAATTCATGCATTTACGTAAAAATCAATTGATTGAAATAAGCACAATAACATTTCCAACAAAAATAAAATCATTTTCTTTAAGTTTTGCTCTGTTTCAGGATTCTACTTGATGCTGACACCGTTTTTCTTTTAGTTTCCTTAATGCGAGCATACGTTGATGATAAAAGTCTCTTTTCAAAAGTTACGCAATCGCCCGCTCATGAATCGTGCCTTCATGAGCCAATTCTCAAGAATTAATAGGTCCGACTGGCTTCCCTCTTAGCCAGGTGTTTCCCAGGCTTTTTACGCCGGCGACTTACTACAAATGCTACAGTTACACATATTTACTAAATCTTGAGTCGCCCGACAATTGTTGAATTCCATCGCGTCCTCGGCTCGTTTTTTATCTGCGCGTTACTTCGTTTTAAACAAGCGCGGATCGTGCACCAGGTTGACTTGCAAGTTCTTTTGTCCAGGTTCGTGCTTCTAGCGGACATTGTAATTTCATTACGTCGTTAGTATGAACGCATTGCATTAGCCCAGCTCGCAAACCGGCAATTAAAGAGAATTTTAATGAAATTAAATATTAAGCTCGTTAATTAAACGAAATGGTGTTGCGCGACAAATGGACACCGATATTAAACAGTATTGATATTTCGTTGGTAGGCAGTGTCCGACGTTTACTAGAATAAAATATTTAGAATAGTGTATTAGAAGTTTTATAAGTCGGTGCGTGACGTGCGACGATTAGTGACCACTTTATCGATCGTGTACCTCCAAACCGCCCACGACTTCAGACTTGAAACGGAAAATTCTAGCAGCAAAAGTTATATTCCCCGTTTGTGAGTTATTCATGTTGTGTTTGTATTTTTCATATTGGAATTTTTTTCAATTTCCGCCTTGAATTTGCGCATGTGGCGCGTTATGTGTGCACTTTAAACAACTCAGGTGTTTGACACAATGCTAAAACGATAAAATGCTCAAAGTTTTAATGCGCAGAAGGAAATTACTGAGGGTTTCCTGCACGTTATAAGTTTGCCATCTGGGCGTACAAATCACAATATTGATTTTGTACCCGCTTTTCGCAAGACACGCAATTTTTTTCTATCGTTTGTGGATTTCAAGAAATCCTAATTATGGTTGAAATTATAAAAAATACACGTGGCGCAGGTTCAATTGAAAGTTCGGGTGTTAGGCTTGGTTCCCAATGTTTGAATGTTTTTGGTGTTTACCATAATTGAACCTTGCTCATCCCAGGAGATAAAAAAAAGTGATGAATCATTGAATGTATCAATGACACGCAAAGTAATAACACGCGGGTGTTACACGTGTTATTGTGAACAGTGGAGGAGCCTCCAACGCCCAGCATTATGGGGCGCCACTCCTTGGTCATATATCTTTTGGATTTTATCCGCAAATTTTTATATAAAACTGACCATCCCGTCAGGGATACAATACCACATAAACTCATTGTTTTACTCATTGGCATTTTATATATTTTATACGTGTATGAAAAATGGAAATTTTTAAGGATTATGAAAAAAATTCAATATTTTTTTACGTTAGAATCTCTTTTAAGATACCTGATAATATATCTCCTATTAGGACAAAATGCCAACAAATTCTATTCTTTGGTTCCAATCGAATGTCATTCCCGGGTTCCAACAGTTCGACAGTCGAACAGATGTAGCAATTCCGACGCGTGAAACGAATATGGCGTGCACTTTGGCCCCGTGCTGCCGACTTGCCGCTTTTCACTGTATCGTGCCGATAAATTATGAAAACCCTTCGGTCGACCGACCACGAATGAATTTTCTCAGGGACGCCAGCGTCGGACCAAACTCAAACTCAAAACTTAACTCGATACTCGATAACCTCTAACTTCAACCACAGATGTAGCCAATACAAACAATCCCTGGCAATATTTTCTTCAACAGAAGCATGACAAAAGTTTTGAAATTCATATAGCTTGGAGTAAAATTCTTGACCCGGATCTATACCTCTTCCTAGGCCTTCAATTTTTTAATATAGTACGAACTCGGCTTGGGCAGTCCTGCGGTCGATGCGAATTAATAATTCACATTACGTATGGACTCCAGGGCGGCGGGAGCCGGCGTGAGACGGTCGGGTCACGAAACACTCCTGGAGGATGATGTTGTGGACACTTACCAATGGCAAGAAAGGTGAAAGGTGTCAGATGACCTGCAAGGCCAACGTCGTTGGTTTTAGTTGTGTTGGTTTGATGCTTGGGATCGTCTTATTCTCACGTCTGCAGCACTGAAAAGTAGGCGAGAAGTTTCTTCATAAAATATTTAATCATCGAAATACTTTTGCGCTACACGCCGGTAACAAATGAAGCGTTCAAACACTTAGCGTAAACGAAACAGTTTATTTATTTACGCATCAATATAAAATAAATTGTTTTAGGTTAAAAGTGAGGTTGTGCACGTAGAAAAATAATGCATAACCTCAAAGTTATTATAACCTACAACTAAGTTATGAAATGTTAGACTGATGGATATAAAATTAATTATTCACCACACAAGCATCAATTATTCTCTGCATATGTGAGTACATATCTACATTTTGTAGAAACACAATAATTCAGTTTCATGAAAAACAATTAAACATTAAACATCTGTTCAGTTCCGAAAGGGGTAAAAATAAACTCGCCTTTTCTCGGCGCTCTGCGCTAGTATTTCATTAATATTTCATTGGACCATGCAATGTTCTCATTTATTCTTAAATATTATATTATGGTATCGCGTTTACGTCATTTATATTTCATCTATGTGAATTTTTAACCCCATTAATATTTGTTCCTAACTGGATTGGAAATGTACAAGTTAACTTTACATCAAAAACATAATTAGTTTATGAACACGTTTCTGTATTTATCGTGTGCTTATTGCTACAAACCATCATGCTATTCAAGTATTAGTCGATAAATGATAAATCGATGTACACGCATAAGTACCTGTATTCCTGTATTTACCCGATTAATTATTGAGACTTAACGTCGATGGTAACCAAGTAACGAAAGGATGCACAACATACAGTGGCGCGGCTTCCACGAAATTTAAAATCAATAATTTCTATCAATAATTGACTTGTGTATTACTTGCTCGGATTGGTTACATATCCTGAAGAAAATTACAGAGGTAAACTACTGGCATTTTGTATTGATAAAGTGATTCTCAAAGGAAAATTTGTTATTTTTCACATTTTATTAAAGGAAATATCGCTGTATGAATACCTAAACTAAAAGATGCATCAATTTACTCTTCCTACCACAAATTTCCTATTTTATCTTCTTATTTTAAGAAAATACAAATATTTAGCCATCAAATATAAAAATCTGATTTTTGGTTTCCGTTCTTGGCTAATTTATATTCACTTGTATGAAATACATGTTTTATTCTTCTTGAGACTTTTATTTTACCAATAATACTAATATAAACAACTACGATGAAATGCTAATAATATAAAACGTTTGTAAAATCGTTTTTATTCTGTTTTCTTTCTCCAACACACGAGGATAAATATTATTTTATTTTTTACGAAGATTGCTAACCAAACAATGTCATATTCTAGAATTATTCCCTCAGTCAACAGTTCTACCATATTTAAATTGCTTAATAATGTTGTATAAAGTAAACAAATTAATATGAATTTATGTTTGCGCGATTGTTTTATGTATGTGTTCAGTATACCAACATCACACACTGTCTCTCTGCTAATTAAGAGAAGTAAGAAGTATGATTATTTGAACATGCTACGTAATAAGTTCTAAAACCCCCATTTCATTTATAATGTAATTAATAACTTAATGTAATTGTAATGTTTTCTATACATTGTTCCCACATTGATTGGTGAAACTTTAACTACTCAAATGTGGAATAAAACCCTCCAAGGACGCAAGAAATATACAAAACCAACGCATATTTCTCGTCAAGAGTTGAATACAAACATTCTTGACGGTTTCAATCGATTACTGAAACACCGACTGAGCCAAACGGAACTAAATATAATAAAGTTATGACTATACTTATTTTATTTTCACCGCTCAAAGGATTTAATCCTATTGATAAGAGCGGGTTTTAAAGCGATACATTTGTGCCTGCATTGCCAAAACACTGCAGATTTTTAAAGCGAATGCCTATTAAATGGAGAGCTTTCGTAAAGCGTTTTTACCAATGCTGTGTATTTAATATTTTTGTTGATATTACAGTTTTGTTGAAAACTTAGGCGTTTTATGCAAATAATAATGAATTAAACCATACCCAAAATAGCAGATGAACTGATGATTGGTTGCGTACATCAATACTACAAAGTTTAAATGTTCTTAGTGTTAAAGATTAATATTTCTTTTTTTCTGTTAATTTTGGTGTGTCAAAATGTCAAAAACTTTTTTAAGTGGCGCTCTGCTTTGAAACAAACCCCCTTACTCCCTCTTACAGGATTTATTGAAATTACAGGTAGCAGCACTTAACTAAAGCTGAACATAACAAAAAGTAGGAAACTGTAATGTCATAATAAATAAGTGCTTAACCCAACTTTATTTTATGTTGGTTTCACCTGGTTTTATTATTGAAATCTTAGTTTAATAATTAGTATTAAAGAAGCAAACCTCTAAAAATGTCCAACAGTCATCTCTTTTTGAAATCCACTTTTGTTAACGCACCCTTGCAGAACGGCGTAGGTCGTTATGTTTGCCAGCTGCAGAGAGTTACACTAAAATTCTGTAAGAATCATGGAGCTAGCAGAGGAATGAGGTATAAAACACAAAACTGGTCTGCAAGTAATATATTTGATAGTTTAACAATACCTACTTATAATTACAGGGATTTTATTGAATCAGATCTTGTAAACTATGCAAAAGAAAATCCTGCAACTGTTGTTTACCTAAAACCAAGAAGACATAGAGGTGCTACTATTGTAGCAGAATACTGTAAGATTTATGGAAGTTTACATAATTATTACTTATTTTGTTTGTCCCTTAGTGAATGGAGAGAAACAACATGTAGATTGCCGTAATTTAGAAGGTGATGTGATATCAAAATGGTTACATCTTTTGAAGACACAGTCTGGGAATCATGAACATGTTAGATTCAGAAAAATGTGGCATACTGAACATCCATCTATTCAAGGACCTTGGACACCATACACTTTCAGAGAACCAGCTTTGAATTTGGTTGAGTTCCCAAGTGCAGAACAATCAAGACCTGCTCAACTGCCACAAACTGCTACTGATAGACTGCTTGAGATTTTCAAAGAACAACAAGCTTTGAATAAGCAACCAAGAATTGAAGATTTAGAAGCAAATAGGGCTAAATGAATTAATGAAAATTCATAAATATAGTTGTAGTAGTTATTAATAAATCAATATTATCCTTAAAAACTTTTAAACTCTACTTGGCATTTTTCCCACCATATTGTTGGTTTTTAACCGGCGCGTGTTTTTTTGTTTAGTGCATAAAGTGAGGTTAACTGTTCGTATCGTGCGGTTCGTTTCATAGATTCTGTGCGTGTTTATCATTTATTTCCTAAAGTAATATTAAAAGAAACATTTATAATGAGTAGAAACATTCATTGCACGTATATATCCGAGAAACTTTCAAAAATTAGATGGAGACCAAGTACATTAAATGAGCCTAATAGTTTTGTCACTGCCAGTTGGGATAATCATGTAAACAATGTTCGTTTGTGGGAAATTCGTCCAAGATTTATGCAACAGGATGAGGAGATTAAAGATGACGAAGAAATTAATCCATGTGAGATTAGAGATGTTGCTTTTGATAGTGACATCACAGAATTAAAGGTATATCCTTAAATAATCATAACAAAATCACATTAAATAATTTTTGTTTCACTTTAGTTCATCAATAGTGATGCAATTGTTGTATCAACTTCAAATGGAGATGTCTTCCTATTTAAAATAACTTCTAGTGAAGGTTATGAAATAGATATAAGCCAGGAAATATGCTGGAAGCAGATTCACAAACTGGATAATGGTTTCACCAGCAGCTGTACATCATTTGCACTTTATGATAGTGATATTGCAACTATTGGAGAAGATGGAAAGATTAATTTGCTATCTGTGGAGAGTCAAATCCCACAGCAACAATAGGTACATTAAATATTTAAAATCTCACCTACTAATACTAATAACATAATATTTATTTTGTTAGAAGAAGCAGACAGTTGCACATTGCAATGTGTGGAGTTCCTGCGCTATAACGAGCTTCTCACCGCAAATCAACGCGGTATTTTAAAAATTTGGGACCTTCGGAACAACGTTAACAAAGCAGAGCAATCCTTTCTGCTCCGTGATGATGCCATTGTTGGTCCCACTGCAATGGCCTACCACCCAACACAACGCCACATTATAATGGCCGGTGATGACACCGGTGCCATAACAGTGTGGGATCTACGACAGAACACGCACCCGTTGAACGTGATGCGCCAACATCAAGACGCCATCTCTGAAATTGTCTTCCATCAAGACCGCCCGGATCAGTTCTTCTCCTGTGGCGGAGGGGACGTTTTCCAATGGACAAGTTTGAAGCAGCCCAGCTTGAGCACCAATGGCCTATGGTATCTACTTGCAGGTGATTTCAACAAATATGATATTTATAGATTGATGCCAGAGTTGCCTGTACCCGTAAACAGCATTGATTTGAGCAGGGATAAAATGTTGTGCGGGGCTGATAATGAGGCGATGTACTTGATAGAAAACGTCAACGTTTATAACTTGTATCCTAACGAGACGCCTTGATTTTAATAACATTGCATTATTGCATCTTTGTATAAAAGCTATATTATGTACTATCGTCGGTGACTATCCTGGTGCTCATATTTAGACAGTTCATTTCCGCCTGGAAGATTGCCTCATTGATAAGTTTTTGGCAATAGGGCACCATTTCTTGTGGCATTGATCGGAGTTTTTCAGCTATGTGTTTCCCATAAGATTCATGGGGCAGAGAAGGGGAGCTTATGCTTATATCTGGTTTCGATATAAGTGTGTCACGGTGTTCTTCTATTTCAATTTTCGCTTGTTTTTGTAGCGGTTCATAAACAGGCGATGCGACTGGACTGGAATCTGGATTTGTTTGCAGTACAAACATTAAACTGCTCTCATTCTGAAAATGATTCATGACTCAAATTAAAAATTTAAACGTTTATACGTTAATTACACTAATTAACACATACCGTGTCTTCTTCAATTGGTAACTCATCTATTACCGTTTCAATTTCTATGTTCTCTGTATTTTTGATGGGTTTGTTCTCGTTCGTGATTTGTAGAAAATGAAGATGGCGAAAGTACCAAAGTCTTGGAACGTGAACATGATCAGAACCTTTCTTCATGGAAGCATATACCTACAAATTATATGCACATGATCATCTACATATTTGTATATACTATGAAAAATATTTTACCTTTCTCATTTCCTTTTTGTAAGAACTTCGAATGTTGGATAGTTTTTTAAATACTGTATCTCGACTGGCAGAAGGGTCTCTTGTTTTATAGAATTCCAGTATTTTGTCTAGTGCGATATTTCGTTTTGCATTATCACGAAAGTCTGAGTTTCCCTGATACCAGAGGCACGGACTATCACGATACATTTCAATTATTTTCAATAAAAAGGCCTGTCCGCCTTTTGTTGTCATTACTAAAAATAAATTGATATAATAACTATAAATCTTTAAATTTGTAAAATTGAGATTAAGATTTCGAAGCCAGTTCACCGTCAGCCATTTCGCCGCAGGCACGTTTTAGACCAAACTAAATCGGCAATATTTTTATTATTAAAAGCTAATGAGAAGATAATATATTAATATTTACTAAATTTACAATAATCTTTATATTTATAATTTTTATTTAAAGAAGAAAGATTTAACATAAAAATATTATAGACTTACAATCACGCATGATCTTGTTATTATGCTTCTTCGCTTTCCAAAACCAATATTAACAACAAATCTGTGCATAAAAAACAAGAATTTTCATTAAATTTCACATAATTATCAAGCGATAAATATAGAATATATGTAAGTGAGGATCAAATGGACGCGCCGGGCCATATTGAGCCACTCTCCTTGGCTTGGATCGCGGCCATTTGCAGCGTTCGACGAGCGTCGACATCAACTTTTGTTGCTATGTGTTATTAGTGAGATAGTCGTGTAGTATAAGACATTGTTCATATACTTGCCTAATTTCGCGCTAAAATATTTTCGTCAATGGTTTATTGTATAATGCATTGGTAAACTAGATTTTAGTTTATTTTATTACAATTGAACTTCACGATATTTACATGTTAGACCACGATCACATCTGATATGAAGTGCGCCCCCTACAAATATAAATATGTACTATGTGTTTTAAAAATTTTCACTATGTTCACACCATACCTAGTTTGTTATTAAATGAATGTAGATTTTCTTTTTATGTTAATAATTTAACAAAACAGCGCTACAATAAAACAGTTTGAAATAGGTTCGTCAAATATCGTAACTGACATACCTACAAGTACATAGGCATAGGTGCAGGTAGTACATAACCCCTTACTATTCGCGCATTTCTCTCAAACATTTCTTTAAAAATAAATAAAATGCCGTTATTTGATACAAGTACGTTTACATTATATTACACAATGTCTTTCACTACATTAATACCATATTTTTGTAGCCATCCGAGTAGTATACAATCATTTAAATTTAACTCCATTTGGTTTGGTCAGCATTCGAAACTATGCAGCTCGCAAAGGTACAAGAGCCAAGCGTGCAAAGTCAAAGGTAAAAGTAGAAGTTCAGAAAGTCGGTTTTATCCCACACAATCAACGAGACCTGGCGAGTTTCCTAGCTTCAAGACCCAAGCTGAAGTTTGATGATTCCTGGAAGCAACTGCCTCTGGATAATGTATATCCTCATAAATATTACCAGTGGACAGTGTATCCTTTCATTGAAGCAATTCAATGTCTTAAGGAGACCAATCATCCTGACATGTACAATCAACCCAATGCAAATGTGCATGTCAACATTGATTTAAACATGGAGGGTGAGAAAAAGAATAGAATGCATGACAATTTCTACAGAATTGCACCAATCCCACATAAGTTTGATCATGGAGAGGAGCGCACTGTTATGGTTTTTACTAAAGATGTAGCTAAACAAGAAGCAGCAAGAGCTGCAGGTGCTGGTATGGCTGGAGGAGTGGAACTGATCAAGGATATTCAGAATGGGTCCATTATGCTGACAGATTTTCAGCATTTTGTGGCAGAACCTACCATTTTGCCTGAGCTGGTGTCTTTAAGGGGACTGATGAAGAGGAAGTTTCCCAACCCAAATGCAGGCACTTTGGATGATGATGTAACCATGGTGGTGGAGAGAATTGTTAATGGAGTTAATTATTCTGCTCTTAAAGATGAATATGAGAAGGATTTTGGTCAAGTTAAAACTGTCATTGGAAATGTAAGTTTATATACTTTATTATATTATTGTGTTTCACAAATTTATACTATTTTCAGTTAAATATGGAGCCTCATCATCTGGAAGCCAATTTTATATCGTTAATCAAAGACATTCACAGTGTTAAGCCGAAACGGGAAGGCCCTTTCATTACAAGGTGTTTACTATGGAGTCCACCCAGTAATGAGAAGTTGAAAGTTGATCACAAACAATACTTGGACATTAAAGAAACTAAGAAACTTAAACGTCAGCAGTCTGGTAATGAAGTTTCAGATGAAGTTCAAGAAGCAGTGGTTCAATGAGCCATCATTCATAGTCGTACAGGAATTACATGTTTTGTTATAGAAAATATCTAGGTAATAAACTTGCTTTAAATACAATTTACTTGTTGAATCTTGTTGTTAACAAGTGCGACTCTCCGACCGAGGTTCTGTTACAGTTGTGCGTGGGGACGAAGCTTCGTGCAAATTGAGCGCAGGGCCTGAAGATGCAAAATAAAATTCTCTATCGGGTTGTATTTAATTATTACAAGACAAACGCTAATACAATGCGATTTATGATTTAATGTTGGATTTAATCTTGTAAAACGCAAATTTAAATTTGAATATCACGCCTCGTCTAGATTTGACTTATTGCATTTCTGTATAAAACTGCTACTCATTTAGATAGGGTAGTGCACGCACACTTTCCCGTACGTGTGTCACACGGACGCTACCATCTAAGTGCGTGACACCTCACTGACTCATAGACAAATCAACACTGCTACACATGCGCGCCACAGTATTTGAAACACTTTGTGTTTTTGTGAAGTACCAGAAAGTGTCCCCAGATGGCGCGGCCATGCAGGTTTAACTAAAAATATTACAGAGAGTGAATTTTGTTTTGTTACATCGGCGCGATAACGACGAGCACACATTCCACACTTTCAGCTTGTGTTATTCTTTGTTATTCGTTCGGTAAATCGCGTTTTATTTCCTGATCGCCGGTGATAATTAGTGTTAATAAACATGCTTGATCTATTGGCAGTTATTTATCGCGTGTGTAATCCTCGTAATTCTAAATTTTGCGTGTTTAATTTATTCATGTGTTTGTGAATCCGTTGCCGTCGGCCGACGCACGGCCATGTTTTGTGAACGCCAATAGTTAATTGACTTGTGAAAAACGTCTTCATCATCAACCGATGATCATGGGCTAATATGCTACCTGGTAAATATCATTTTTATCATTATTATGCGAATAAAAGGAATTTTAAATCACAAACTGCATTCCGACGGAACTCAGATTCATTTCAACATGTCACGAAATAACTAATTTTTTTGTTTCTCCTTTATTTCAGTATCTATCAATAAGCTGTCAATTTACCGGGTTCGATAGACCGGTAAGTAAAATATTTCATTATTCATAGATTGTGTTTGCCCTAAACCTAGATTTTAGTTTAGTTCAGTTTAGAATTAGTTAAATCGAATTTTAATTCAACATTAATTTCATTACTATATCTAAATTGTGAACTGAAAATCATAAAATAGTCATGTATTGGTTTATTTATCGGCAAACGTAGGCATTTCGCACGAGAATTGTGTTTGTTTTGAACACAACTCACACTTTCTTATCGCATTCGCTGCGAAAATGCAGCGCATGAGATCCCCTCACGCCGCACGTTGCCGCATCTTAGTTTTGTTTTGATCGCAGATAACGTGCTAAATGCACGTTTTCGTATTTCCGTTGTTTTGTTTTATCGGGTTCCACCGCGTGTTGCAAATACATCAGATAGTCGCGTACCCGGATGATGCATCTGAAAATTAACTGTTAGGTTTTGTTTAGAAGATATTCACTGTCGAAAATCGTCAAAAGAAAGTATCAAGCAACCCCCACACCCCTGGCATTTTTCTTGGGCAATGAAGATTTTATCTCCAGATTTCCTGCCTTAATCCAGCCTATCTTATAGAGAATACTTCGTAGAATAAAACGCTGCGATCAGATCTTATTTATCTCTCTTTTAGTTTACGAGATATTCATACTGATAAAATGGGCAAAAATTGCAAAATGTCACTTTTTAGCACTTTCAGTCGCGTTTCTTGACCTTTTACTGTGGGAAATATATTTATTTTATATTTTTATCTAATAGAGAATTTTTCAATCTTTCATAATCAGCGATTCGTTGGTTGCTATCACTTTTAGTTTAAGAGATGCGAATTATCGGGAAAATCGTCGAAAAGTATCAAGCACCCCCTTGGCAATTCTTTTTTCTTAAGAATGAAAAATTACCCTCAGATTTCCGTTTTTAACTAGCCTATCTTATAGTATATATTAGTTCGTAGAATAAAAACACCGCGATCAGATTCATTTATCTCTTTTAGTTTACGAGATATTCGCGATTGAATAAAATGCAAAAAATTGCAAAATGTGTCACTTTTAGCACCCTTCAGTCAGTGTTTTTGACCTTTTACCGTGGGAAATATATTTCTTTATATTTTATCTGACAGAGAATTTTTCAATCTTTCATAATCAGCGATTCGTTGGTTGCTAATAATTTTAGCCAAGAGATGAATTATCAAAAATCGCTGAAAAGTATCAAGCACCCCCTTTGGCAATTTTCAAGAATGAAAAATTCTATCCTCAGATTTCCGCCTTAATCCAGCCTACCCTATAGAGTATAGTTCGTGTAGAATAAAACACTTGATCAGATCTTATTTATCTCTTTTAGCTTACGAGATATTCAAGACAAACAAATAAGCAAAAATTGCAAAATGTCACTTTTAGCACTTTCTAGCCGCTTTTGACCTTACTGTGGAAATATATTTATTTTATATTTTTATCTGATAGAGAATTTTTCAATCTTTCATAATCAGCGATTCGTTGGTTGCTATCACTTTTAGTTTAAGAGATATGAATTATCAAAAATCGTCGAAAAAAAGTATCAAGCACCCCTGGTAATTTTTTTAAGAATGAAAAATTTCATCTCTCAGATTTCCGTTTTAACTAGCCTATCTTGGCAGAGAATACTTCGTAAATAAAAACGCTGCGATCAGATCTTATTTATCTCTTTTAGTTCACGAGATATTCGCGATTGAATAAAATGTAGCAAAATTGCAAATGTCACTTTTAGCACTTTCAGTCAAGTGTTTCTTTTTGACCTTTACTGTGGGAAATATATTTATTTTATATTTTATCTGATAGAAATTCTTCTTAATCTTCATAATCAGCGATTCGCTGGTTGCTATCACTTTTAGTTTAAGAGATATGAATTTATCAAAATCGTCGAAAAAGTATCGCTAATTCCCCTGGCAATTTTTCCTACAAGAGTCCGTACCATCTTCAGATTTCCATAGTTTTTTAACTAGCCTATCTTATAGAGAATAGTTCGTAGATTAAAACGCTGCGATCAGATCTTATTTATCTCTTTAGTTTACGAGTATATTCGCGATTGAATAAAATGGGCAAAATTGCAAAAAATACTTTTAGCACTTTCAGTCGCGCTTTTGACCTTTTACTCGGGAAATATATTTATTTTATATTTTATCTGATAGAGTATTTTTTCAATCTTTCTCATAATCAGCGATTCGTTGGTTGTTAATACTTTTAGTTTAAGAGATATGAATTATCAAAAATCGTCGAAAAAAAAAGTATCAAGCACCCCCTTTTGGCAATTTTTTTCTTAAGAATGAAAATTTCTTATCTTCAGATTTCCGTTTTAACTAGCCTATCTTATAGAGAATAGTGTAGATTAAAACGCTGCGATCAAAGATCTTATTTATCTTTTAGTTTACGAGATATCTGCGATTGAATAAAATGGGGCAAAATTGCAAAATGTCACTTTTAGCACTTCTTTCAGTCGCGTTTTTTGTAAATCTTTACCGTGGGAAATATATTTATTTTTATATTTTTATCTGATAGAGAATTTTTCAATCTTTCATAATCAGCGATTCGTTGGTTACAATACTTTTAGTTTAAGAGATATAAATTTACCAAAATCGTCGAAAAAAAGTATCAAGCACCCCCCTTGGCAATTTTTCTTAAGAATGAAAATTTCATCTCTCAGATTTCCGTTTTAACTAGGCCTATCTTATGAGAGAGTACCCTGTAGAATAAAAACACTGCGACTGTGATCTTATTTATCTCTTTTGTTTCACATGAGATATTCGCGATTGAATAAAATGGGCAAAATTCGTAAAATGTCACTTTTTAGCACTTTCAGTCGCGTTTTTAACCCTTTTACCGTGGGGAAATATATTTATTTCGTATATTTTATCTATAGAGAATTTTTCACCTTTCATAATCAGCGATTCGTTGGTTGCTACTTCACTTTTAGTTTAAGAGATGCGAATTATCAAAAATCGTCGAAAAAAGTATCAAGCAAATCTCCCCCTTTGGCAATTTTTCTAAGAATGAAAATTTCATCTCTCTGCATTTCCGTTTTAACTAGCCTATCTTATAGAGAATAGTTCGTAGATTAAAACGCTGCGATCAGATCTTTATTTATCTCTTTTTAGTTTATTTATGATATTCGCTATGATTGAAATAAAATAAAAATTGCAAAATGTCACTTTTAGCACTTTCAGTCGCGTTTTTGACCTTTACTGTGGGAAATATATTTATTTTATATTTTTATCTGGTTGTGAGAATTTTTCAATCTTCATAATCAGCGATTCGTTAGCTGCTATCACTTAGTTTAAGAGATATGAATTATCAAAAATCGTCGAAAAAGTATCGCCACCCCCCTGGCAATTTTTTTTTTTCTTAAGAATGAAAAATTTCATCTTCAGATTTCCGTTTTAACTAGCTCTACCTTATAGAGAATATTCGTAGATGCAAAACGCTGCGGGATCAATAGATTCTACTACCCTTAGTTTACGAGATATCTTCGCGATTGAATAAAATGGCAAAAATTGCAAATGCTCACTTTTAGCACTTTTCAGTCGCGTTTTTTGGACCTTTTACTTCTGGGAAATATACTTATTTTATATTTTTATCTGATAGAGAATTTTTCAATCTTCGTATAATCAAAGGTGATTCAGTTGGCTGCTATCACTTTTTAGTTTAAGAGATATGAATTATCAAAAATCGTCGAAAAAGTATCAAGCACCCCCTTGGCAATTTTTTTTCTTAAGAATGAAAAATTTCTATCTCTCAGATTTCCGTTTTAACTAGCCTATCTTATGTGAGAATTGCTCGTGTGATTAAAACCCTGCGATCAGATCTTATTTATCTTTAGTTTACGATACCGGCGATTGAATAAAAATGGGCAAAATTGCAAAATGTCACTTTTAGCACTTTCAGTGTTTTTTGACCTTTTTGTACTGTGGAAATATATTTATTTTATATTTTATCTGATAGAGAATTTTTTCAATTCTTTTCATAATCAGCGATTCGTTGGTTGCTATCACTTTTAGTTTAAGAGAGATATGAATTATCAAAAAATCGTCGAAAAAAAGTATCAAGCACCCCTTTGGCAATTTTTTCTTAAGAATGAAGTACCATCTCTCAGATTTCCGTTTAAATTCAGCCTATTCTTGCAGAGAATACTTCGTAGAATAAAACACTGCGATCAGACCTCTTTATTTATCTCTTTTTAGCTTTACGCTTTAGAGATATTCGCGATTGAATAAAATAAGCAAAAATTGCAAAATGTCACTTTTTAGCACTTTCAGTCGCGTATTTTGACCTTTTACTGTGGAAATATATTTATTTTTATATTTATCTTATATACCTTTTCAATCTTTCAATCAGCGATCGTTGGTTGCTATCACTTTTAGTTTAAGAGATATGAATTATCAAAAATCGTCGAAAAAAAGTATCAAGCACCCCCCTTGGCAATTTTTTTTCTTAAGAATGAAAATTTCATCTCTGTATTTCCGTTTTAACCAGCTTCTATCTTATAGAGAATAATTTCGTAGAATAAAACACTGGGTGATTGGGGATTCTGGTTTTGTCTCTTTTAGTTTATTATATTGATAATACCGAAAAAGTATCAAGCACCCCCTTGGCAATTTTTTCTTATGAATGAAAATTTCTATCTTCTTGATTTCCGCTCTTAACTAGCCTATCTTATAGAGAATAGTTCGTAGATTAAAACCCCTGCGATCGATCTATTTATCTTTAGTTTACGAGATATTCGCGATTGAATAAAATGTCTATTATTTGTAATGAATTATTTTTTCATGTTTTAAATTTTTATAACATGATATTTGTTTCTTTGTCTTTAAATCTTTATTAAATTTACTAATTTAAATCTGGACCTCTCTGCTTGAATATCCAAAGCATAGCCTGCTACGAACGTGGAAATTCCTATCGCCGGGCCGTATGGAATGCATCGCATGAGATTCCCGCGTCGTTGTTGCAAAACCCCACGCCGCATGCAGCATATTCTATAGTTTAGTCAGACTGCGGGACAGCCTATTGTAACGCGCACAAGGTCGAGTATTCAGCGACGCGCCGCCTTTGCGCACTTCTGCTTCTTATCGTAAACCGTCGCGTTGCGTCGTTGTTGTTTCCGGCTACGGCGTGCACTATCCGCGGATTGCGCTTTAGTGTCGTGCCGGTCCATGGTTAATCCAGACGTGTTTCTCGCAAACTCGTATCGCTTCAAGTTCGTACTTGCGCTATTTAAATTTGCATTATATTCGATCCTCAATAGACGATTTAGTTTTAACTTGCGACTACAATAATGTTATTTACTATTTTGCATCTTTATTGTCCGTAAATGCTGTTGGTATATTGCAACTCATAAGTCGTCGAGTTGTTAAGTATAAGCCCCTGTCGGGCTATTGGAACGCATAAAATACTGGTATGGTATTATTACTATTTCCTTTCATATACATTCGTGCCTCGTTGCTGTAATGCCATTTTAATCATTTCTGCGCGAACGGCGTCACATATACTCTGACCGGTATGACGAGTGATGCAATTAAATTCTCCGTCGTAGTGGTATTTGGTTTGTTGGAGTGAATTCAACCCGTAATCCGCGAAAATTTGCATAAAGGGTGATTTTTACCGTACCCCTCTGAAATGCTCTTGCATTTTTCGTGTTTGCGCAGGATTCAGGCGACTCCACAATTTCACCGCGGCATCCAGAGATGCGGAATTAAATTCCTCCGTCGGGTGGTACTTTGTTGATGAATTCGACCGGTAACCCGCGTAACTTGCATAAAATGCGGATTTTGTCAACCCTTCTCGTGAAAATGTCAGGCTCTTTTTCTTTTCGTGTTTGCGCGCGCGATCTAGGCGACTCACAATTTCATCGCATCCGTGAGCATGCGGAATTAAATTCCCGTCGGGTTGTATTTGTTTGTTGCAGGAATTCGACCTGTGTAACCCGCGAAAATTTGGCATGCGCGGTAAATTTTGGTCACCTTCGTGAAACGTTTGTAATTTTTCGTGCTTGCGCGCGATCTAGGCGGCCCAATTAATTTCATCGTGGCGTCCAGAGATGCGGAATTAAATTCCCTCCGTCGGGTGGTATTTTTGTTGCAGAATTCAACCTGTAACCTGGAAAATTTTGCATAAACATTACTTTTATCACCCCTTTCTCGTGAAATGTTTGTATTTTTTCGTAAGCAGGCAGCGATCTAGGCGACTCACAAATTTCATCGCGGCATCCAGAGATGCGGAAATTCGTACCTCTCGTCGGGTTGTATTTATTGTTGCAGGAATTCGACCTGTAACCCGCGAAATTTTGCATATAAAAGGGTGATTTTTGCCACCCTTTCTCGTGAAATGCCTGTATTTTTCCCTGTTTGCGCGCGATCTAGGCGACTCGCAAATTTCATCGCGTCATCCAGAGATGCGGGAATTAAATTCTCCGTCGGTGGCATTTGTTTGCTGCGAGGAATTCAACCTAAAACCCGGAAAATTAGCATAAAATGCTGATTTTTGTCAAATTCTTTCGTGAAATGTTTGTATTTTTTCGTGTTTGTGCAGCGATCTAGGCGGTCAATTAGTTTCACCTCGCGGCATCTAGGGATGCAGAATTAAATTCTCTGTCGTATTGTATTTGTTTGTTGCAGGAATTCGACCGGTAACCCGCGAAAATTGTATAAAAGAGCGATTTTGTCACCCCTTTCTCGTGAAATGTTTGTATTTTTCGTGTTTGCGCGCGATCTAGGCGACTCCACAAATTTCTCATCGCGGCATCCGTATGAACAACTCTCGTCGGTTGTATTTGTTTTGTTGCAGGAATTGACCACCTGTAAATTTCATAAAAGGGCATTCCTTTTGTCACCCTTTTCGTGAAATACCGGTGGCTTTTTCGTGTTTGCGCGCGATCTAGGCGACTCACTAGTTTCACTGCGGCATCTGTGAGATGCAGAATTAAAATTCTCTGTCGGTTGTATTTGTTTGTTGCAGGAATCTCGACCTGTAAATCCCCGCGAAAATTTGCATCAAAGGGGTGATTTTTGTCACCCTTTCGTAAAATGTTTGTATTTTTCTCGTGTTTGCGCGCGATCTAGGCTCAATTAGTTTCAATTGCGGCAATCTAGAGATGCAGAATTAAATTCTCTGTCGCCTGTATTTGTTGCTGTATAAATTCGACCTGCAATCCGCGAAATTTCGCATCGTGCTGCGATTTTGTCACCCTTCGTGAAATGTCAGCTTTTCGTGCTTGTGTATGATCTGTGCGGCTCACTAAGCTTTCACTGCGGCATCTTGGAGTATTTGGTGAAATTGCAAATTCTCTCGTCGGTTGAATTTCTTTGCCGCGTGAATTCAACCTGTAACCCGGAAAAATTTGCATAAAATGATGATTTTTGTCACCCCTTCGTGAAATGTTTCGTACTTCTTTTTCGTGTTTTGTGCGCGATCTAAGTGGCTCACTAATTACACCGCGGCATCTAGAGATGCGGAATTAAATTCTCTGTCGTATTGTATTTAGTTTGTTGCAAGTGAATTCGACCTGTAATCCGCGAAAATTGCATCAAGCGGCGATTTTTGTCACCCTTTCTCGTGAAATGCTTCGTATTTTTTCGTGTTTGTACGCGATCTAGGCGGCTCAATTAATTTCTCGCAAGTATCTAGAGATGCAGAATTCAAATTCTCTGTCGTTGTATTTGTTTGTTGCAGGAATTCGTGACCAGTAACCGGCAAAATTTGCATCAGCGGGTGATTTTGACACCCCTTTTCGTGAAATGCTTGTGTTTTTCGTTTGCACGCGATCTAGGCGGTTCACTAATTACACCGTGGCATCTAGAATGCGGAATTAAATTTTCGTCGGGTGGTATTTAATTCTTGCAGGAATTCGACCTGGAACCCGCGTAAATTTACATAAAAATGTGATTTTTATCACCTTTTCTCGTGAATTATTTGTTTTTCTTCGTGTTTGCGCGCGATCTAGGCGCGGCTCACCACCTAATCGCGGGCTTAGAGATGCGGAATTAAATTCTCTGTCGGGTTGTATTTGTTTGTTACAGGAATTCGAACTGTAACCCAAGTAGGCTCTCTGTATGTACAAGTGATTTTGTCACCTTTTTCGTGAAATGTTTGTGTTTTTTTAGGTTTGCACGCGATCTAGGCGGCGTTGTAACTCCAGCGGGGCGTCTAGAGATGCAGAATTAAATTCTCTGTCGGGTTGTATTTGTTTGTTGCAGGAATTCGACCTGCAACCTCGAAAATTTGCATAAAAGGTTGATTATTGACATCCTTTCTCGTGAAATGAATAATGACACCTTGTCCCGCACTTCCGCTCAACAATGTAATTTATTTCCAAATTTTTCTCATCTTTAACACTGATCTGAGTGTTGCAATACTGAAAATATTTTTTTTTGTTACAGATTTTATCTGTCCAAGACGAAACTTCAAAATTTCCAGGAGAATTTCGTGATTTTCCATTCCGGTTGTGGCGTCAGTCTTGACGTCGAATGATATTTGTAGTTTTAAAATGTTTTTTTGTTTTCACATTAAATTTTTCATTTGCAACACCTTGTATATTTGTTTCCATTTTCAATCACCTAGAAAACAGCTATTTGGTAGGGAGGTCGTAAAGTCAACATGGCGGCAATGTGTATTTGGTTGGACTCAAGTATAATCTAAACATGTGGTAATTCATTGAATAAAGTAACAGTAAGATATATTGACTTTTGATTTGTAAAAATTCTCTTCTATGATTATAGGTACAGTTCCCTCTCCCAGGGGATGATCCCACCTATCAACATTGTTAAGGTATCCTGTGCCATTTTTATTGTTTTATTTGTTCCAAACGGGGAACATAGCTCGTAAATAACATGGTTACCCTTCTAATTAATCTCACTAACTCTTTAAACTCTTAATGGAAATGCCCACCGCGTTAGATATGAAAATAGTTCAAAATCAATTTTATTTTGTATCAATATTAATTTTAAAAAGGTATCACTAGTGACTACTATCCACGAGTAACTAAACTATGCCGCTATTCAAGATTGCTGGAGATTTAACCTACTGCACTTTCTGCGATCCTAATATTCAAAAGAATTTTGTTACCAATTTCAATGGATTTCTTGACAAATTTGTAGGATCAAGATTATGTAGTTCTTAATTTTCTAGCCCTCTTAGTTGTCGAGATCCTTAAGAAACCGAAAGAAAGAAAACCGAATTTGATGAATAAAGATTTTTAAACATTCATTTTTATTTCATATTACTAAGTCACCGCCTCTTTTATTTATTTCTTATATTTTCCTCACCCTTTCTGCGATCCGAATACCAAAACCCGAAAGTTTCTGACTGTTTGAGTCCAAATTTTGTGTCCCTTTGCCTCTAAAAAAGTCGACAAAATAAAGATTGTGCCTATTAGGATCGCAGAAAGTTGAGGAGCTGAAAGATTTGGGGTAACTAGTAAGCAGTTGCCTCTGGTGGCGACGGACCGAAAGCCTCAAAACTTTCTGGCTGTTGTCGTTTCTAGTTGATAGATGGCACTAGCATGCACTTTTCAAAATAAATAGTTTGAGGGACCTTAAATATGAATATGTGATCAGGTAGAAATAACAGAAATAATTTTAATTAGAAAAACTTAAACATATTCTTTATTAAAGAAAACACAGAAGCATACATTTTGGGAGTCAATTTGTGTAATAATCACAAAAGTTATTTATTTATTTATTAAATGTCAACGTGATTTTTATTGGATTTTACAATTTTATATAATGAGTTTGACATGTTTCGCCCTGAGGGCATCGTCATAAATGAAAGTAATAAAAGTTATTTAAGATAATAAAACTTAATACTAACAATCTGATGCAAGAATGGTCCTTCTACGATGTTAGGGTCAGGTGCAAAATCCCTAAAACAAGCAAAAATTAGTCCTTCGAACATAAAATGTAAGTTTGGGGTCAATTTGGTAATGATGTAATCATAAAAGTTATTTTGAAAAATGATAAAGGAATTAATTACTTACAATCTGATACCAGAATGGTCCTTCTACGATGTCAGACTCAGGTGCAAAATCCCCAAACAAGCAAAAATTAGTCCTTCGAACATAAAAATGCAATTTTGGGGGTCAATTTGTACCGATAATCATAAAGTTATTTAGAAAATGATAAAGGAAATTAATTACTTACAATCTGATACCAGAATGGTCCTTCTACGATGTCAGACTCAGGTGCAAAAACTCCTAAAACAAGCAAAACAAAATCACCCTTTATGCAAATTTTCGCGGGTTACCGGTAGGTCGAATTCCCGCAAATGTGCGTCACAACCCCGATGAGAATTTAATTCCGCATCCTGACGCCACGATGAAATTAGTGATGTTCAGATCGCGCGCGCGCAAACACGAAAAGTGCCACAAACATTTCACAAGAAAGGGGTGACAAAATCATCATTTTATGCAAATTTTTCCGTAACAGGCGATCAAACCGTCCAACCCAACGCCACAAACCCAAACCCCAAACGGTGAAACTAGTGAGCCGCCTAGATCGCGCACACAAACACGAAAAATACAAACATTTTCGACAAGAAAGGGTGACAAAAATCACCCCTTTTATGCAAATTTTCCGGGTTACAGGTTGAATTCCCGCAATAAAGAAATACAACCCGACAGAGAATTTAATTCTTATCTCTAGATGCCGCGGTGAAACTAGTGGAGCCGCCTTAGATCGCGCACAAAACACGAAAAAATACAAACATTTTCACGAGAAAGGGTGACAAAATCACCCTTGATGCAAACTTTCGCGGATTGCAGGCCGAATTCCCGCAACAAAACAAATACAACCCGACAGAGAATTTAATTCGCATCTCCAGATGCCGCGTGGTGAAATTAGTGAGCCGCTCCAGGATCGCGCGCAAACACGAAAAAATACAAACATTTCTACAAAGAAAGGGTGACAAAAATCATCATTTTATGCAAATTTTCCGCTACAGGTTGAATTCCTGCAACAAACAAAATACAACCCTCGACAGAGAATTTAATTCCGCATCTCCAGATGCCGCGGTGAAATTAGTGAGCCGCCTAGATCGCGCGCAAACACACGAAAAATACAAACATTTCTGGGCGAGAAAGGGTGACAAAAATCACCATTTTATGCAAATTTTCCGGGTTATAGGTCGAATTCCTGCGTAAACAAAGCAGAAATACAACCCGACAGAGTACCGACCCGCATCTCTGGACGCCGATGAAATTAGTGAGCCGCCCAGACGCGCACAAACACGAAAAATTACAAACATTTCACGAGAAAGGGTGACAAAATCCCCATTTTATGCAATTGCGGGTTACAGGTCGAATTCCTGCAACAAACAAATACAACCCGACAGAGAATTTAATTCTGCATCTCCAGATGCCGCGGTGAAACTAGTGAGCCGCCTAGGATCGCGCACAAAACACGAAAATGTACAAAACATTTCACAAAGAAAGGCGGACAAAAAATCATCATTTTATGCAAATTTTTCCGGGTTACAGGTTGAATTCCTGCAAACAAACAAATACAACCCGACAGAGAATTTAATTCCGCATCTCCAGATGCCGCGGTGAAATTTAGTGAGCCGCCCAGACTGCGCAAACACGAAAAATACAAACATTTCACAAGAAAGCAAGATTCTTTCCGGGTTACAGGCTGAATTCCTGCACAAAGAAATACAACCCGACAGAGAATTTAATTCTGCATCTCTAGATGCCGCGGCGGAAACTAGTGAGCCGCCTAGATCGCGCGCACAAACACGAAAAATACAAACAGCTTTCAATGAGAAAGTGCGACAAAAAATCACCCTTTGATGCAAAATCCGCGGATTACAGGTCGAATTCTGCAACAAAACAAAATACACAACCCGGACAGAGAATTTAATTCCGCATCTCCAGATGCCGCGGTGAAATTAAGGTGAGCCGCCTAGGATCGCGCGCAAAACACGAAAAATTACAAACATTTCCACGAGAAAGTGCGGACAAAAACTCCCATTTTATGGTAAATTTCGCGGGTTACAGGTCGAATTCTGCAACAAACAAATACAACCCGACAGAGAATTTAATTCCGCATCCTCCAGATGCCGCGGTGAAATCTTTACAGTGAGCCGCCTAGATCGCGCGCAAACACGAAAAATTACAAACATTTCACGAGAAAGGCGACAAAATCCCCATTTTATGCAATTTCGCGGGTTACAGGCCCACCCCTGCAACAAACAAATACAACCCGACAGAGAATTTAATTCTGTGACCTCCAGATGCCGCGGTGAAAACTAGTGAGCCGCCTAGATCGCGCGCACAAAACACGAAAAAAAAAAATACAAACATTTCCACATTTATGAAAGGGTGACAAAAATCACCCCTTTGATGCAAACTTTCGCGATTACAGGTCGAATTCCCGCAAACAAAACAAATACAACCCGACAGAGTAAATTTTAATTCCGCATCTCCAGATGCCGCGGTGAAATTAGTGAGCCGCCTAGGATCGCGCGCAAAACACGAAAAAATACAAACATTTCATGAGAAAGGGTGACAAAAATCACCATTTTATGCAAATTTTCTCCGGGTTATAGGTCGAATTCCTGCAACAAAGAAATACAACCCGACAGAGGATTTAATTCCGCATCTCTGAACGCCAATGATAAAATGACAACAAAATAATTAGTACTAAAGGTCTAGAGGTTCTGAAATCGTGTATAAATGTGCAAAAAGAGCATATTTTTATTTTTATGAGTCTTTTCTTCGTTCGCGAATATTTCGTAAATTTGGCGCAGGTAGGAAGAGAGTGAACCATTATTATTAATTAAACTAGAATTATTAATCTTCGAGTAATTTCATAAGACAAAAGTATTAAAATGCCAATGCCAAGCAAAACACGGTGGCGACGATGTTACGATGCTAAGAATTACCTACTGCGCGAACGTGCAAAACCGGTGCAAGAACAAGCGCCCAAACCGCACGGGAATTTCTACCGGGCCAAACGTGAAGAGATGCGTTTACGCGTCGCACCACGCACGCAAGCTAAAGGTCGCGTAAAGTCGCCGCCACCGCGCTCAAATGCTTCCGCGTTTGTTGATAAAGCCCGCCAAAACGGTTTACATCACGTCGGCCCGCAAATGCGAATTCTACCAAATACCGCCAAACACACCCAAAACAACGCATAAAATCGGCAAACGTAAGTCTTGCGCCAAGACACCTAATTTTGCACGCAAAATAATAAAGGATATAGTGTTCCGGCAAGACGGAAGCTATGCGCCCCATTGACCTGTCCAAACAAAACCCCAAAATTTCCGGCCCATTTTTCCTTCAAAAAGAACTTTGTCATTTGGTAACATGGCAGAACTATAGCACTTCGGGTGCTGCTCAGAATAGCACCATAAAACGTAAAACTAAACTGAAATCTCGGTACACGGCAAACTCTTTCTATAAATAATATAATTATTTTACTTACCAGATATGTACGGCGGCAAATCGAAGACAGGTTGGTATATACTGAAATAAATGAGAAACAAATTATTAGTTACAGCATTTCGTGCTATGTCGAAATGAATCTGAGTTCCGTCGGAACCCAGTTTTTTAAATTAAAATTCCGTTTATTCGCATAATAATGATGGGAATCACAATATTTACCAGGTAAGACATTAGTCCATAAGCAGCTGCAGATGATAAAAATGTTTTTTCTCAAGCCCACTGGCGAGCACAAAACATGGCCGTGCATCGGCCGACGGCAACGGATTCACAAACACTTGAATAAATTAAACACGCAAAATTTAGAATTACGAGGATTACACACGCAATAAATAACTGCCAATAGATCAAGCATGTTTATTAACACTAATTATCACCGGCGATCAGGAAATAAAACGCGATTTACCGAACGAATAACAAAGAATAACACAAGCTGAAAGTGTGGAATGTGTGCTCGTCGTTATCGCACCGATGTAACAAAACAAAATTCACTCTCTGTAATATTTTTTAGTTAAACCTGCATGGCCGCGCCATCTGGGGACACTTTCTGGTACTTCACAAAAACACAAAGTGTTCAAATTTAAATTTGCGTTTTACAAGGTTGAATCCAACATTAAATCATAATTCGCCCCAACGGTTCTAGAGTTACAGCCAAATTTCCACCGAGTGTTTAGACAATAAGTTGGTTCGCTATCTCTAGTTTTAAGGAGTTTTGTATTGTTGAAAAATCATATATCAAGGTCACCAGCGATAAAATATGTTTACATTATATGTATGCACCTACAGGTACATACATAGTACTTATATAGCACTACGGATTTATAAACTGCTCATGATGCATAAATCGCATAAACGGTAGATTGTACACCTCTGCTTCGCTTACAACTCTCAGGACGCTCAGTAAAAAACAGTATCAAAACATCGAAACGCATGCGTCAGTCTATATTTAGCCGCCCATTGACCGTTGAAACCGGTTAAGTTTGTTTAGTATTGTTTGTTGAAATGAATGCGTAGCGTGCAAAATAAACATATTGCGGGTCGTTTGCACGTGTGTATCACATTTTGTGGCATTTACGAGAAAGATTTTGGTACAGAATATTGCGTAGCATTATTAATTGTATCATTTAAATTAAAACAAAGCAGGAACAAAATGGTAGCAGGACGGCTTGCATTAGTAACAGGTGACTACAACATTTATTTATACTTACATTGTCTTGGTGACCGATATTAAAGAAGTTATTGATATTACAGGGGCCGCTTCCGGTATTGGTAAAGCAACATGTCGTCTCTTGGCTCACAAGGGTGCGACTTTGGTGGCTGCGGATCGAAATCCCGAAGGAATTGCACATTTAATTAAAGAACTGAACATGACTGCCCACGGCGATCAGAAGCACACCGGAGTATCAATTGATGTAAGCGATGATGAATCTGTCCGCAATGCGTTGTTAAAAGTTCTGGAGCACCACAATCAACCGCCATCAATTATTATTAACAACGCCGGCATTACACGTGATAATTTCTTGCTATCTTTATCAGAGACTGATTTTGATGATGTTCTTAGTGTAAATCTGAAGGTAAAATTACATAACTAATTTTTGTTCAAGAAATTACAGAAACTATTTATGTTTTAGGGTACATTCCTAGTAACGCAAACATTTTGTAACTCGATAGTAAACCACGGCATTAAAATCGCATCGGTTGTAAACTTAGCGAGTATAATAGGCAAGTACGGCAATATGGGACAAAGTAATTATGCGGCGAGTAAGGCCGGTGTGGAAGCCTTGACGAAAACTACAGCCAAAGAATTGGGAAGGCTGGGAATTCGGTGCAACGCTGTTCTACCAGGCTTCGTGGACACACCAATGACACAAGCAGTGCCAGATAAAGTTAAGAATAAATTCATGCCGCTGATTCCTATGGGCCGATTTGCTTCCCCAGAAGGCAAGTTTATGCACTCTATAAAGCTTCTATTATAATCTATAATTTTTTGTTGACAGAAATCGCCGAAGTTATTGCATTCCTTGCTTCAGAGAAAAGTTCCTATGTTAATGGCGCCTCTATTGATGTTACTGGCGGTTTCTAGGATAACACAAGAATTATTCCTTGATTTATATTATAAATAGTTTAATAAAATCTTCAGTTATATAATATTTCATCTGTTACCTGGCTGACCACTGGTTTAAAATGTAGCTAAATGTTGTGCAAAGGTTTTTTTCTTAATTTTAAAGAATACAAAGTTGAAAGTTATTCACTTATCTATGGCAGTCTGTAAAACGGTATGTATGCTTCCATCTATACAATAGGAATTGAACTACAGCTTCGTATATGTAACGCAATTTACCTGCGTATCCCCGTAGAGTCGGTTTTTATATTATTTTAGTTGCGCTTATTGCTCCTGCCAAAGTCGTGTGAAATTAATTTAGTTAAAAGTACATACTTCTGTGCTATTTTACATCTAGAGGCGTTCGTAGTTTGAATCCACTCGAAATGTCTCACAAAACACTACACAATATTATTTATTCTTTAATTATTATATTTTCTTGCTTATTTACCGGACAATGTCTTGAACGCGAGATGACGGTTAACGTTGAGCCGCGGAAGGAGGATTGCTTCTTTCAAAATGTAAAAGTGGGTGATAAAATTGATATAGAATACCAGGTAAACTAATTTTTACGTGTTAATACCGTGAATTTCACTCTAGAACTAAATTTGTAGGTTATTGACGGAGGTCTAGGTGATTTAGATATCACTTTTCTGCTGGCGGATCCAAACGGCCGCATCCTAGCTGCAGACTACAAAAAATCCGAAAATAATCATCGGGTAGACGCCGAACTGGACGGCGACTACAAATTCTGCTTTGATAACACCTTCAGCAGCTTCAATGTGAAGACTGTTTTCTTTGAGATGATTATTGACAGAGATAATGATGACTCATGGGAGAACCCATCCAATCTAGGCAATATCCCAGAGGAAACCTATGAATTAACAGTGGAGGAGATTCAAGAGGCTGTTAATCGCGTTCGTGTAAACTTGAAAAGCATCAGACACCTACAGGACGCCATTAAATCAACAGAGGCAAGAGACAGAAACATTGCAGAAGAGAATTACTTCAAAGTAAACACATTCTCATGGGTGCAGATTGCTGTGATGGCCACTGTGGGCATTGTGCAAGTAGTCATGGTGAGAAGTCTATTTGATGATAAGTCCAAAGTGCATGGTATCTGGAAGAAAATGCCTGGTGCCAGATAATGTTACCCAATCAGTTTTAGCATCAGCAAATTCCAAATACTGTATGAATGAATCACATGGGCATGACTTGCTCTAATAAAGTAAGCAATAATAGTGTTTATTGGGAGAAAGAGAGAGAATTGTTCTGTTTAAATTGATAAGATTGATTTTGCTTATCAGCAAACGACTGATAAGCTAAATACCATGTGCTAGTCATCAATGCAAGTTAAATTTGTACATATTAAACCATGAAACCACCTGTAGTTTAGCTTGATGTCAATTAAATTCGTTTTTTAAATGCCCAGAACGCTGGCGTATGATTATTACCCACCATTAAAATCAATGAGCAAAGCTGCAATAAATTTCAAACAATGCCTTTAATAACGTCTGCGTTCACAACAAGTTAAGATAATTTCTTGCTTAATCCGGCTTTCCACGTGTCCTCTTTATAGCCGTTCTTGACAAACTCCTTAACCTTCGCCTTTTTGTGGTTCTTGATAATCGAAGGAGCGATTATGTTGCGCTTCTGAAGGCTCTTGAAACGATCATTCAGCAGATTGCCTTCCTTCTTGAGGTTGCGTAAGTTACCAGAAATATCCTTTTTCATATTGAATTCCATATCAGGTTCTTCATATTTATTCAAGCCAAGGCGTTTGGCTTCATACTTTTGATACTCTTGTTTCTTCAGACGCTTTTCTTGTAATTTCTTCGTTTTCTTGGCAGCGCGGTCTATCTCCTTGTTGATTACCTTAAGACGGTACAAATCACTCACTTTCTTTTTCTCAATTTTTGCCTGGTGAAGTTTTTCGAGTAACTGTTGTTGTTCCCTCTGTTTACGACGTTGTTTAGTTGATTTTTCCTTGTTTTTAACTGGTGGGTTGATAGGTTTATATTCTTCATCATCCTCATTGACACCTTCATTTGAAATGTCTGGTTTGAGGCCTTCAGTCATTTCTACCAACCAGTTAGCCTGTTAATAAAAATTTAAAAATTGTAAACTTTTTATAAGTTTTTTTGTTATAACGAAGAACTCTAGCGGGGAAAATATGAACTAGTTACTGCTTATAACGATAGATCACAAAGAATTCCTAGTCATTCTAAATTTCACTTTCATTTCTATCAATAAAAAACCTCTGATGCAAATTCCACTATAAATCACGCTATTCACATGTAACAACACGATATCTGATAAGGATATCAATTAATACGATTAAAACTTACATTTCCGTTTGTGTACCGAAAAAACCAAACTTTTTTTCTGTGTACAAATTAATAATAATAATAATAAAAAAAAAACTTACATCTCTTTGTGCAGGAGTAACTTTCTTAAACATAAGCTCAGTGACCCTCTTCAAATGCTCCTCCTCTTTGATAATCTTCTTCTCCTTTTCAGCAATAAGATTTAACAAATCCTGATGATCTTCATAGCTGGGATTGTAGGACATGCCAGGATGAGGAAGCTCAATGGCATTCAAGAGATAAGGCTTCTTATGAGTGCTCTTTGGAGGGCCTTTTGGTAATTTGCCAGGCCCATGTCTAATGTGCCTTTCAGCATCCCCTGGATCCACTCATCATTGGCCACCACTGCATCAATTTCAGCAGAAGTCTTGGTGTGGGGTAACAATGTATTAACATTGTTACTCCAAATATCTTTACTGAAATCAAACTTGCCTTCCTTCTCCATTGCTTCCCTTCTTTCTCTCTCCAACTGCATGTTTTTCACTCTTTCCAAATCTGACTTCTTAAAAATTCCTTGTGCCTTAAGCTTAGCTTGCTTTTGTTTTATAAGAGGATGTTGTCTTTCCTCTTTAGTTCTAACTCTGTTTCTTTTAGCAATAGGATCTGGTACTTTAGTCAATGGTTGTAATAGTGACAGACATTTCAATGGGGCATTTCTGAGTTTCTCGCGATATGCTTGCTTTGATGTCAGCTTTGTGGGCTGCACTGATTGAGTATCCAATGTGAAGAGTTCATTGTTTGAAAGTTTGGCATAATCACTAAAAATAAAAAATATATTTATATATAATATCTGCTTATTTCATCTGAAGCTCTAACATACCCCAAACGTTCGGTCAATCGCTGTTCTTCAAGGAAGTTGTCTACGTCCGTCAAGTCAACATGTTTTCGCCAAGAACTTTTCAATTTCTTCGAAACACGTTTTCGTTTTGTACCAGTCGGTTTATTTTCATTAATCGCAATCATTTTGCTTAATTGCTACTAAGTATCAATTGTTTACTTATCTATTATTACGATTAATAAGTGAATTCAATGAATAAATTCGAAACCATTGGAAACACGTGTAACGTTAACATGGAGGTTAGGTATATGGAACAGACTGACATTATGTACATACATTTGTCAACCCCTTCCTCTCTGTGTCACAAAAAAACGCGCATTGAAAAAGAAGACTAAAAAGATTCCATGGCCATGTAGTAGTAATTTATAACTAAATTTAAATATATATTGAAGTAAATAAGTAAATTTTAAAGAACAATTTGTCAAACAGTGTTGGTAATAAGAATTTATATTAAATTTGTTTATTGGGTTGCATATACTAATTCTAGATGTGTGCAGTAAAGTTTATCTGACTGAGTAGAAAATAAAATGTATTAATAGTAACCAGTTTTCACCGAATATAATAATATTTTGATCGGTTTCGAAATATTTACATATCTATAAACGTGCGAAATGCATGCAGTTTCGGCGTGTTCTATTCTGCGTTGTAAAATACATATTTTTACATTCCTAACGGGTTTGTTAGGAATTCTGTATGACAGAATCTTCCGATTGTTTTTTTGAGCTAAGTCGCTCAAAGAAACTTTTAAACAAGTAATAACCAAATAATCAATCACAAGGCGAATATAATTACATGAATATAAATCATGAACAGGACAAGTAAAAATATTCCATAAAAATATTGACGCGTGATGTAAGATTTAAAAAATTGTTGTGGAAAAAATGTCACACATATTTTTTCCATTCGACATATTTATTTCCCATATCTCATATCATCACGCAACACGCGCAGAGCGCAAATGTATCAATAGTCTGGCAAAAAAAAGCGTAATCGATCACGTGAAAATGCGCGGCGCACTCATGTTCACGCCGTTTTTACAAATTCCACTAGTGTGCACGCCATATGACAAATATAGAATATCATCCATTGTGAGTTTGTAAACAAATTATATACAAATGCTCGCCCCAGACTAATCGGCGATCCATTATCCTTATCAATGAGTGTGCGTCAATCTCTCGCTGCCGAGATAGTATATAAGCGCAACTCGTTCGCTAATTTAAACACAGTCACCCTAAGACTACTCACAAGACTCGAACTTGAACATATCAAGTTTGCGCATATTAAATACTATCAACTAGAATCTTCAAAACAAACAAAAATCATCATGACTGGTGCCAAAGTCCTTGTTGGTTCTGCCACCCGCTTCATCACTGGCCGCAACGCCGTGCAGACTGTGTACTGGAGGGAGACTGCAGAACAACCGAACAAGTTTATCAAGGTATCGAAAACTCTTCAATTCAAGTCGAAAATGCCAGGCCGCGCTATCCAAGAGGCCCAGATTGCTCACAATTCCATGGGCAACATTAAATTCAACTAAGTGTTTGAAAAGTATTAATCATAGCAAATGCAAATAATGTAAATTGCTAATTACTGTTTGTTTACTCGTTAAGTATTTATTTATTGTTAATGGTCGCCTATTTTATACTAATTATTGTCTGCTGCTCAAATTTTGAGCGGTGTTCAAATAATTTATTATGTTATTATAATAATAATGGTTTAATATTAAAGTTATATTTTTAACTGTTAAATATTTCTTTTTTTTTCTTGAACAACAACCTATTGAATAATGCCTGTCATTTCATGAGAAGAAAAACTTAAAAAAGTCAACACACGAAAGAAAACTCTTCGCATTAGTCAAACATCAAGATCAAATGAAATTCCGGTTTTGTTATCATGAACATGAACGTTTAAATAGAAGTAAACACATTTTAGAATCTGAACACCTAATCAATAATTATAGCATTTGACTAATGATCAATGTATGCGTCACTTACAACAAAAACATAATTTTTTAATTGCTTCTATTTTACATACAGATGTGGTGGTATGATATTCGCCTGGAGAGTTCTAATAATAATGCACAATAGCAATAAATGATTATAAAACTACAATAAGATACTGATATAGATTGTCGATTTTTGCATTATTATATCCCTGGATTGTAACATGCCTTGAGGGCCTATTATTAGAAAGGTATTGTAAATTAGATTTAATCAATGTGCGCCGCAAATTGAATATACTCGTACATTGAACCGTTATCGAGTGCATATGAGTGAGTAGATTTAAGTACATAAAATAAGGACCCATTTCATGTTAATGAGTTCATACAGCACGTGCATTATAAAATGTATTCTGGGAAGGGAAAATAAATATTTTAAAAAAATTGGGTTATAATCTTATCTCTGGTTCTTCCATAGATCTAAACCATTCTTAGAACTTGCTGCCCAATTTTTGCATTTTCAACTTTCTTCAGTGTCTTAATATTCCATGAAAATTGAGTTATGTTGAAGGGAATTAAAAGCCACATTCCTCTCGACTTCATGGAAACTTTCTTCAGTTGATGGTAATTTCATTACCGATTTAAAAGAATTCCAACATTTCTCTACAAAGTAAATAATTAACAATTTATTATGCATTATACTTCATCGAATTTTACATAGTATTATTAATACTATACATAATAGTAAATTTCAGATACTGATTTATAGAGAATGAGCAGATGATGCAAAACAGAGTGAAATGATAGGCTTCCTGCAAGACGCGAAAAACATATGTAAAAATCAATATTGCAATTCGATGATGACATAATACCTAGTTCAATATAATAGTACTTTCAAATTTTCGTAATACAATTGATATCTCCTAATAAAGTCTAAGTAAAACACAACAAACAATCCTTCCTATGTGATAATCGGGAGACACTTGATAGCAGCAATAATAAATTATTCATTTTCAAATGGAAATTCAATTTGTAATGAATCCGGACGCAAGATGTTGCGCATGCGGAGCACACCCAACTTGAATTTGACATTTCAACTGGTTCAATATAAAATTAACACTTTAGTCAGTACCTAACTACAAAGTATTGATAGTAGTAAGAGTTAAAAGAGTATAAATAACATAAGATAAAATATTTCAACAAAATAATAGAACAATCAATCGACATTGTATAATAATATATAACATTTGCTTCACTTCTTAATTGTATATGCTCAATTTGTTTAACAACCAAGTAAATGATTACATTCCGTCGTAGAGTAAATTTCTTCATGGACTGGGTCTGATTCAGAATAAGAATTAAAATTGTTTAGTCGTCCTAAATACGAAATGCAATACGATATAAAAGCAAAACGAGTATTACATGATGAGGATTCACGTAACATTCGAGTTATTTACATATATAATTCATTATTTCCTAGCGTTCAGTTTTACTTCGGTTATTATAGAATTTCGATTTCAATATATATATAATGGTCCATTAATTAGACATAACAAGATGGAAGTATAAAATTGTCAAAAACCATACTTGAGCCTAACCACGTCAGTTTTCTGTTTTTGTATTCATGTTCGATTTGGCACAACATTTCGCATGCAAATACGTATGTAATGATTAGATTTCATCCCTCCGTACACCGGTCCGCGTCATCTAAACGTTAAGTAACATAGTTTCAATTAAAATTACATAAGGCACTTATTTCTGACTCTTTCAGTTATCCATGAATGAGCAATGAATCGCGGCGCGCACGCAGGAGCTCATTCCGCCCGAGAATCGCGATGTTCTTAACGCAGGACGACCTGCCGGATGCTTAAAGGGGCTTGGTGAAGTTCGCTGGGAACATGCCCTTCTCGCCGGTGTGGTCCTTCTGGCCCATCAGCCATCCTTCCTCCTGCTCCTCGGGATCATCGTACTCAATCACCTGGATGATCTCGCCAACATCGAAAGACAATTCGTCAACGTCTTCGCGATTGTACTTGTATGTGGCTTTCACTCTGTAGAGCACACCTGGTGGTAGATTATCAGTGCTCGCCCCTAAAACCATCAAAAACATAATCAAGTTGATCGATAAAACAAATGAATTACATAAAACCAAAACTAACACAACTACGTGCTGGTTGTGAGTAAAAGTAAGTTGTTAATGGCATATGCTACTCACCCACTGGAATATCATATAATTCTTCAACATTTTTAGGTTTTGTATCGGCGGTGCCGTTATTTACCAATTCAGTGGTAGTAGTAGATTCGCTATTTCCCTTTGGCAAATCATTCGAGTCAGTAGTATTCGAGTTCTCGACGTCATTGTCGGTGGAGATTTCAGTTTTGAGAGATGTGCGCCCAGGCGCCGTGTTACCGTTCATTTCGGATTTTGGCTGCGCCTGCAACGACTGCGTAATTTCGAGCGTCGCCGGCGGGGATGGATTGGGATGGGAATTGCTCGAGTCCGGCGTTGCGACAGAGTCGTTCGGTGTTGGCGCGTCGGGGGTTGTGGGGGTGGATAATTCTTTAGGCGGCGTCGGTGACTTGGTCGGCGTGACCGGCGTTGTGGGAGACGCGGGGGTGGTGACCGGCGAGTCCGGCGCGGCTGAAAACGATTAATGTAGCCACACGTTTCCACACACACGCCATGCATTAATGATTATATTGTTACGCAATAACAAGCCAACGCTTCACGATCTACACATTCATGCAACCAAGTATACTTACGCATATTCAAGATATTCTTCGTAGGTGAGATGCTGTTCATTGTCAAAGTGTTGCTGTTGTCGTTGGTGATTTTGCGTGGCAGGCTCGCGCCGTTCTTCTTGATTGTATAGGATCCTCTCTGACTGTCGGTGGCCAATTTATCGACGATTGCTTCCAGCTCACTGTAGACCTATGGATATTAAAACATTTTAATTTTTGTTTGTTTCAGTAATTAAAAAGCTGTGATTTACTTTGGCAGTTTCGGCATGAAAGACTTGTTCCGTATTGAAGTGCGTTTGCAAATTGGTCACCAAAAACAATATCCTGGAGTCGTGCAGAGCTGGCAGTTCATCGTGCAATTCCGAGTTGAGCATTTCGTAGGTTCGTTTCGCCTCGTCGAGGAGTTCCCTGCCACGAGCCAATTTCACGTCGTCGCGCTTCTTCGTCATGCTCGCCTGCAGTGTCTGGTAATTGTGCCGCTGAGCATCGTAGTCAACTAATTTTCGTCCGCGTTTGTCGATTTTTTTCTGTGAAAACAATAGCATGCAATGGTTAGATAACTCCGGGTAATTTTCATAATAACGCGGTGCGTTGAAACAAAAACAATGCTCGTGTGCGTACTTGACCTTGTTCGGTTCTCATTATGATGACATTAATTACTTATGTAATGTAAACGTGCTCAAAACTAAATATGAAAAACTATTATTATTAAGATAAATCTCTCTTTAGATTTAGATTTCACTTCAATCAGTTTAATCAAGATATTCCACTTTTTTCATCTGTTTTTCTTTATTTTTAGAAATTACGCGAAACGTCGCAAATGTGAAATTTACTGCTACACACGCTCGAATAGAAAACTCACTTTCATTTCTGGAAACTGGCTCTGGTAGGTATTCAACGGCAGGAGGACCTGCTCGCCAAGTTTGTGACTGTAATCCTGGTACATCATGTCGATGGACTGCGTTTGGACGTAGAGCAGGTCGTGACCGGACCAGCTGGTCTCGTACACCTCGTTGACGGCGTCCAAAAATGATTTGGAGGCAGCTTGGGCGGCTGCAATAACACAGCATTAACATAAACACCCGGTATAACAAAATCATAAATTCTACCTCTCACGCATCGAATGTAATTGTTGAATTCTTTCTGCAGGCGATTGGCAGCGGTTTGCTGCTTATTAAAGTTATGCAGATGTTCGTCGAAGATGTCGTCCGCAGTGCGGTCGACTTTGCCAAGATTTTGTAAAATCTGCAAACAAAAACATCAATGTTAATGGAAATTTCAGGATACTATAAAAGCTATGCATTAGAATATCGTAAATGAAGGCAGCACAATAATTGGAGGCGGATTACTCAATTGTAGATGACGCTGACAAATAAATGCGAGCGCGTTGCCCGAGTCGAAACTTATTTTTATTTTTTGGCAAGCACAGCAAACGAACGCCAACGTTTCGAAAAGTCTCTGTTGAAACCGGCAAGGGACACTATTCACAGTTTAAACATTTATATATTCGAGCAATATCCGCCGATTTTACGGCTTGCATGGTTTTCCTGAATTAACCATCTTCTTTCTCCATGCTTGCTATTTATAAATTGCGAATTGCGATGAATGTTAAGTCTTGGGTGGCATCTATAAAAGACATAACCATAATACAAATACAATTTTGTAGAAAAAAAGATCGAATAAAGCAATGCTTTGATTGCGTAATTTTTGAGTGGAGTGGAGAATAAACACGAATAATTCCACGATGCTGTATGCCAAGTGAACAGCGCCAAGCATAGTCGACCGCGCGTTCTTATTAACTGTACAAATAACCTGCCGCATTGGAATTTCTTGTCTGCAGCAAGGCTGAAAGCAATGTGCACCTTAACGGTAAATTAAATGCATTATTAAAATACCCGTTTACGATCATGCTAGTTTTACTCGCGTAACTGCCTCCTGCATCTAAGACTTGGGCTGTTTCCAAAACATATTCAAATCTTCTAAAAATGTTAATTTTTTAAATTAAAAAATCACTTCCTGCTTAAATCTTTTTCACTTTTTCATACTTTCGTGTTTTAGAACATCCTATATACACCGGTGTGCCATGAGCAACATTCAGCAAAAGTGTTGCGACACAAATCGCCATTGAAAATGCAAATGAACCTGCTCCTCGGCGGGTTTCACAATTTTCGTCCCGTTGCTAGGTTTTAGGATAGGCCGAATATTTCCACTTGTACTACTCTTCCAAGAAGACACCGCTCGTCTTCAAAAGTTGTATAAAGTGAATGTGAGAAGATGATTGCAACCTTTAAACAAGTGCACTTCAACTCCAAACAAAAATACATCTGCGAGTTGTAAATGTCAGCAAGCTACGATAATTTAATAAAATAAAACAAAACAAACCAGGAAGATGGCGATTCGATGCTTTTGCATTCTATAATAGCCTAAAAGGCTTCAACTGTTCAACATCACGACAATCAACATGTTTGTGTTCGCATGCACTTGCAGATTACACGAGTATCATGGCGCGTACTTTCCATTCAACTCGTTTGAAATCAGCACAATGTAGCAACAAGTATTTTAGCTCCTTTCTTCGCCGAAGAGCACAAGAAACCGAGAGGAGTGCATAAATGTTTATACGTGATCTGCCATTCGCTAAAGTTTAAGAGAAAGAATTTCAGGGAGTGCTGCAGAAAAACGCACGCTATGTGAAAAGAAAATGTCAGTGAACTCAAACATTTCAAAATATTACACAAAATACTAAATAAATCATTACATCACAATCAAGGTCAGATTATAATACATCTGAAAATCCATTGATAAAGAAACAGGACTTCAACTTCAAGGTCTTGACACATTTCCCATAGCAGTGATAGTCTTAATCTTAATCTGAAAGCATTCTTCGCGAATTCTTTTCAGTTGCTTGCTATTTATTGCGTAACGTAAAAAGGAAGCAATTATTCCGACACGTCATTTACAGCTTAACAACACATGTGAACGTCTTTATGTCGTAATCCTGAATAGGATTATCACTTACTGCATTACCAGCCTAAAAATAGAATTCAATATGAAATTGTGATAACAAAAAATACTCAATTTAATTAAATGTGAAACATACTGCATTGTTTAATCAACCTGGATATGGTGACCATGTGAACATGCGCCTTACCCACAACCGATGATACCCACACGGCCTTTACGAAATACTTTGCATACCGTATTCGAACGTTGAGCCCGAGCTACACGATCAAATCTTAAATGGAAATTCTTCGAACATTCACACAACATTTTTTTCTCCTGTTCAATCAATATAACATCAATCTGTTTACAGAAAACACATCGGATTAATCTCCAAAAATAAATTTGATGACCGTATGGCAATTCGTAATGTTTAATTAAAATCATTAAACAATTGAGTGGGCACGTAAGTTGTCCATCCCACGTGTGGTCTAGATATTCTAGAATACACGATAAATGAAGTAATATGACACAATCGGTAACAGGTATACACCTGAAATATTAACGATATAGCCTCCTCGCATAACGCGGTAATAACTATCAATTATTGCCCTTTATCCTGCGAGTTGAGGTTCATGTCACTTAATAGAATGTCAACTAATCAAATATAGATGAAGAAGTCGCCGCCTATGCCGCCCTTCATGATCGTGTTTGAAAATAGACAGCGATTAAGTTCAATGAACAATCGACTCGGCTGAATTATTCACTCGCTAATAGTCTGGCGTGTGTGTGCTCTATTATTTGTCGCAACCGAAATAACATTAGGCGCGCTGTGGTCATGAAGTAAGCGCGAGCAAAAGGCGAAGACGTCGTGCGCCGTCTGGCTATTTAAAACTGGACGTGTGCGCTGGGTAAAAATATTTCCCGGATAGCTATTTTCATCTTTGCGAATAGAAAATCGCGCTCGGCTTTGACTGTTTAAATTCAATCAAATGCAGACGAACGCGCAGTTAAGTGCGATAATTAGAGTGATAATTCAATGTTATTATAAATTGTGATTCATTAAAGAGGAGAGCAATGATCTTGAGAATCGAGAGATATGCGCCGCGATTGGATAATGCGTTCATTCATTGTGAATTCCTTTCGAAGCCATGCCTAATGCAATTATGTTACACAGCGGAATGTAATTATATTTTCTGTCTGATTTGCATAATGGAAACATCGGTAATTTAATATCTATGATTATAAGCCTAGTGAAGAGTTGGATAGTGACATATTTGTATCTCATCAAATAATATAATATATTTAAATTATTCGTACTTCTTCCGATGAAATTCTCTAAGAAAAAGCATTAATTGTTTTAAAATTTAATTTCTATATGGAGTCAATGCTTAGAATTAAGTTTCCACGCAATTATTATACTTAAATATTATAAAAATTTATTTTCTTTTGCTCATACTTAAGTAATATTATTAACTAGCTTTAACCCGCGGCTTCGCTCGAGAATATCTAAAATAATGAAGTTGCTTCCGAACGCGTCTGTAGTCACAGAAGAAGTAACAATGAAGTAGAATGGCGGGAAGTTTAAAATGGCTGAAAGTATAGTCTATGGAAGTATAGTGTACAGTCTCCATAGTGTAGTCAATTGGATTTGATGTTGACGTAGCTGTCGGTAATACAGTGTGATAATACAGTGTGATGGTACTATAGTACTTAGGTTTGAGCTTCATTGCTGGAATGCTAGATGGCGTTAAAGTAGTCAAATAGCCAGATGCAGAGGTATTATTGGCTAAACAATTTCTTTATTTTATTTAAAAAATAATTTTTTTTATTAAATAAAAAGTAGCCTATAACCATTCGGGGACCACTAAGAATATGTGAACAAATTTTCATGATGATCGGTTAGGTAGTTTTTGCGTGAAAGTGTAACAAACATCAGGACTTTCGCATTTATAATATTAGTAGGGATTATTCTTATTTCTTATGATGAAGTTCTGTAGGGCAAGACACAAATTATGTTTTTACGCAATTATTAAACTTAAATATTATAAAAATTTATTTTCTTTTGCTCATACTTGTGTAATAATATTAATTATTGCAGAAGGCAAAAGTTGTAGCAATTTTGAAAGTTATTTTTAATATTTATTGCTGTATGTATTCAAATATGTATTTAACTCAAACCAATCCGTAGCTATATTCCCTTTAGATTTGACATTTGAACGTATCCGTCTATTGTCGCAAATAGACATGCATGTAGGCGGCAGCCACACATTCTAGGCGACCTTGATTTGTTTGCGAGGATTTATTAAAAACATGGAAAGGAAGTATTTTGGATATTATATTAATTCCTGCACACATGCATATATCATAAACTGAAATATGTATTGCTTATTTGTGGGGAATGATAAATTAACTAAAAATAAATATCAAACATTGCATCCAGGCCTATACCTAAGGCAAAAAATTGCAAATTAAAGTGGACACTTTGTTACACATTGATTTACTCGTATTTACAGATCAAGTTGCTGCTCTTATAATCAAGTTAATGTATACAATGTCTAGACCATTTCCAGTAGATAAATAACTCACTCAACGCAGGAAAACGATGCACTGGCATAACAAGTATTTAATCGACAATGAACTTTGTGCAGGTGTATAAAAACAAAACAAGGTAAAAACTTGATGAATGACAAAACAGGACAAAATTACCTATACGTACACGCGGCATGTCATCATTTTGTGCGCAATATAGGTATAATTACTAGTTACTATGTGATTCCGTTTAACGACGCGATCATAATTACAACATCGACTGCGTCCATCTTTACAGTGACCAGTGAAACGGCAGTTGATGGAATCAATGGTAATTGATCCATTACACAAAGTGTCATGTTAACTCAATGTGTGATTTAGGCCCAGGAGGCAATCACACGCAGCTTCAAATTAGAATCGACAAATTACGTTAAACATATTTAAACTACTATGTAAACATTTGAACTCTTCATTAAGATCTCACAAGCAATACCAAAAAATATTTCAAAGTTTCTGATTGTAATCTATATATATAAAAATGAATTACTGTTCGTTAGTCTCGCTAAAACTCGAGAACGGCTGAACGGATTTATCTTATCTTGGTCTTGAATTATTCGTGGAGGTCTAGGGAAGGTTTAAAAGGTGAGAAAAATTCGAATAATTGCCGGGAAAATCCTCAAAACAGCTCTTTTCTATAGAATAAAATTTGACATTGAGATTCAATCATAGTTATAGTTAAATAGTTGAATTCGAGATGGCGCGCTGAAGTGCATTATTGACAAAACTTTATATGCATAATTTCTTTAAATTAAAATTGCTAATCTTATTGATAGAATTGACTCTTACTAGTAGGTATGTCTAGAACAAGAGAGTAAAAACGAATTACATTTTTATTAAACACTGCCGGAACGAAGTCGCGGGCAACAGCTAGTCACAATATAAAAATAAAACTACTGTAAGAAAACAATAGGAAAGTTTATATTGCATTAATTTATACATTTACTACATGTGTTGCAAGTGCTACGCGCTGAATATTTAATTTATTCGAGTAAGCAGGTTTCGGCATATGTTCAACACACATGTTGAACAAATTAGAAGCGCAGAAAAATTAACACTATGAGTGATCAAAAAGTCATTTAGTTTTATGCCATGCTATGCTTCAAAGACACGAGTTTTGAGTTGCTTGCCTCTTATTGGAACACAATGCAGTAATCAGCGTCATTCAACTTGGGTAATTTTTCAGTACGTCGAGCGCAATTGACTCTTTCTTCTGTATAACTATAACGTGAATTCACTTTCTGCTCCTCAGCGCATGACGAAAAATAAAAGTAAGTATTATATTAACCCGCGTGTCGAACGTTGCGCGAGTGAATTAGTCAAGATTACCTAAGCAAGGCGCTAACCAATACTGCAATCGCGTTTGTAATATTTTTTATGGAATAGAAATTCATATTTCTTTAATTTCGCATGAAAATACAAATTATCCAGCTAAAAAATGCCAAAGTATGAAATATTTAATCACTAGAACATTTTTATTATTAAATTTTATTAAATCGTTTTTTTTTTAATAAAAATATAAAAAAAACCAACGTTTCAGAAGCAAATTTCACGTGTAAAAGGCATCCCTGTATAGGGCGTACGACCTCACCAACATGCCCATAGACTAATGTCTATGTTGACATGCAATGCACGTATATTATACCGGAAATGTTTGAACGTTTACAGGAAACTTCGAAGAGACACTATGCAAGTTAAATTCAGGAGAAATACCACGCGATAGGACGCAATAACAACAAACACGTTGTTATTTACGGATACCTAGCTACCACGCTTTATTTATAACTCGGCATTATTATAAGTAATGCTTTTATTCGCTTTGTTCATGCACGAAGTCAACATTAACTGTTTGCGTCCCAACTTGCAACTGACACTTATGGATCAATTCTGGGCTGCCATGTTAATTCTAATGTTAAATGTTATTTGTCACGTACGAATACACGACAGAAGCAAGCAGTGCGTGGTTATCTGCATAAATCGACAATAACATGCAAAATGTTATATTTCTACTTTTAACATTAAATCGCCAGTTTTTCCACGGTTTTTAGACATAACAAATGATACTTTAAACACAGACGGTCAAGGCAGTGAGTAAAGTACTTTAGTCACGGGTTTTAGTCACTGGTGGAGAATTAAACGTTTACTACGCTCACTATTACTCAATTTCGTGACCAAAACTCACGTTTAGCCCTTTAATACCTTAATATACAACTAATAATTACAAATATTGCATAAAAATGACATTTCCCCCAAAAACTCATCGAGGGACGTCTAATCGTACTCCCCACTATGTCAATTGCTCACCCACTCTATTATCATCCTAGTAAAATATTTGTTGTAGGTAAAAATACCCATAATCAATAACACTAAACAAATTAAAACACTTCGACAAAGTAAGCACGTTGATGTTTATACACCGCATCGCCTCCAACTCCAACTCATGACTAATTGTTTATAATTACTGCAAGTTTATTACTTTTACGGAAAAGTGGTCAGTCGTAACGCACTGTACTTCTATTAATACATGAACTACTAATGCTAAAACACAGCGATTCGAAAGGTTTTTCAGTTTATGGCTGCCAACAATGCCGCCGAAATTGCTGCTCGCATCTTGCACGGATGCTCACATTGATAAAGTGACCCGGCTGCAAAAATGCAATTTGTTGCCGGCAGAAATCAGCTCAAGGCCAAAGCTATCTTAGCTGGCTGACAGGAGTACCCAATGAGTTTTATTAATAATTTCGATGGCTGAGTTCTACTCCACAAGTCGCACATTCAAAAACACATCACTTACAATTCACATAACAAAATATTTTACGTTTTTGTAACAATTTATTCAAATTAAGATATAATTAGTTAATTATTCAATAAGTATTTTACTCTATAATCTTTCTTTTCATATTTGTTGAATGTGAATGAAGAAAAAAGTGAAATAATACTGTTAGAAATTCATCTCGGTCTCTACTTCGGCGTCCCACTTCTGTGATGTGTTTTTTCGTGAACCGAAGTGGAGTACTCGTACACAATACTTCTCCTCTCCTTCTCCGCATACCAGACGAAACGATTTCAACCTGCTTCTTATGCGGAAATGTTACTTTTTACATGCGCGCCACACCGAAATGAGCGTGAAGGCCTCTGAAATATGACAGCTGCACTTGAGTAATAATTTTATTTACTGCGTCACACGTTATTGTGAACTTTATTAATTCGTTTTACATCGTTATATCATCATGGGACTTGCAACTTGTGCAGTGAAATTAAATTATTGCGCTCTCAATTTATGCTCAACTGCTACGGTTACTAAACTCGTCAGGAGCTAATAAAGTGACGAGATTCGACTTTATACTTACATACAGGGTGTTAAGATAAATCGCAAGAATAATTCTGTAAAATTTTCATCAAATCCTCTTCAATATAATAATATTTGAATTAAAAATGTTCAATTCATTATTAGTCAAAGAATATGAAGACATTTGATATTGAATTGTCATTATTCCTCTGTAGGTTGATATTGAATGTGAGAAAAATTACACCAACTTCCGTTACAATAGGTATTATCCTATTAAAAATAATTCTCGTAATGCGTCGGTTTGCATATGATGCAAACACGTCTCATAGGCTGTGAGAGTTCAGGAAACACGGTGTTCGAACGTCTCAAGCGCCAGCCACAAGAAGCTTGCAATAATACGTGATTAATGGCCTAAAATAAAATGTAGGTCATGTCGGAGTGTTTGCGTTCGTCGCGCTCGTAAAAATACATTATACTCAATGCAAAATGCTCCAAATATCCCAATACCAACCCCACAAATGCACTGCGCGATTTAACAAGACAACAATTCGAGTAAAACTCTGTAATTTAAGCATCAAAGCGACAGTTGTGTGAGTAAAGTACTCGTACGTTGCTCGGGTGGAATTGGCCGTCGACGCGAATTTTCGCCGCCGAGTGAAAATAGCATTTACATTTAGAATTTAGGAAACGCGGCGGCGGCGCAACGTGGCGGCCGCATGCATTTATAAATAAACCAAAAACTATCTCGTCGCAAGTCGCCATCGAGACACTCACGATTGCAGCTTTCTTAGCGTCGAAATCGCAAAGAAACCAAGTGTGCGAAAATTTTAGTTGCTAATATACTAGCAGGTAAATATTATAACACCTTGATGTCAGCGAAGAACACCGCTGCGTGCTCGACACACTTTCTCGACGCACGAAAGTAGGGAAATGCTTTCTTTCGACCTCGCGCCGAGCACAACAAGTGCGACTACCATGCACTGGGCCACCGATCGCTTCGAGCGATGCTTAATTATTGCTTCCACATACCTGAAATTTAATTTTAAACAATCCTAATTTAATTAGCAATGGCGAAATGTTGAATTACCGGTGTGGGCTGTCGATGATCCCCCTCGCGTTTGTTAACACATGAAGTTATTACATCGCGCCGACCTTTTATAGTCATGTGTGGACGACTAATACTAAGTGATTGTGCAAACCGTCGACTTGTCTCGTTTTTGTAACTTATTCATTTTACCAAAGGTGTTTTATGTGGGCTGTGCGCCATCCACGAATCGTAATAAACAAATGAATGTTTTTCAAGTGTAAACTTCAACGTTGACAAAATAAATATGCACCGCGGCGCGCGAGCGCAAATGTTAAACAAATAGTGCGTATAACTGGCAGTAGCGCCAATACTATTACCTTTTTTGCACTGCGTTGCTAAGGACAACGTCACATGCAATTTGTCGTGACATGCAAAGCAAGCACCCTTGATTTAATTAGCGCACTACTTCAGTACACTTGAGTCTGTTCCTATTTGAAACAAGATGAAGTCCGCGCAAGTGGGCAATATTCATCAATTATTCGAGTGAGTATTCCCAGCGGTCCTTGCCGCACCGGAGGAAGAAGAGTCTCGCATTAAAAATAAAATGTCACTGACCTTTTCCTTGGCTCTCCCTGCGTGTTTCTGCACCGATTTGGCTATCAGCGAACCTCTGCTCTCGGCCATCGCAGCGAATCTCTCGTAGTACTGGCGCAGCTTCGTGGTGACACTATCTGCGTGCACTAGACACCTATTTTTAAAAAATAACCTGCGGCTGCGGCGGCGGTGGCTCGCTCGGCGGATCGGGCGTTCGTTATCGCGTGCGTCCGCTACACACTCACTCGTGACACTTCTCGCGCTGGTGCGGCTCGGCGGCGCTCAAGCCCAGGTTCGTCGCTCAAACGCGGCCTCGCCGTTGATTCGTCCGCGCCGTCAGATCGGAGGTTTCTATTCCGTGCGCACGCCACGCACACCGACCGCCGCTTACTCTCGGCGATTGCCCCCACAAAGCAAATCGCCGTGGATCGTCGCTGGTCTTCATTTATTTCTGCAAATTGTTAACTGCTATATGCAACCAGCACTACTTCTCAGAACAATTGACGACGAATAGTTCACGACTTAGACACGCGATGGCGTTAGTGTCGTAGGAGTTTGTATTGCGTTATGTATTTTGTACATACAACTCTGAACAGAAATTGTGCTATTTTATAATTTACTTTGTTTAATTTGATAATTTAAGACATTTATTATTTTTATAGATTGAGAAATTAATTCTCCACTTTGTACGCTTAGCCAATAAAATATAGTTTAAGCATTTATGCCATAAATATCTATCGTTCAATAATAAACTTTTTCGTGGCGCTGGTGTCGCTTCGAAGCGCGTTCTCAACCGCCGGCATTAGTTGCAGTTTGAATAGCTGCAACCCACATTACTTAATATGGAAGAAAGCAAAACGAAGCGAAATTTTTAAAAGAAAATCGAATTAATATTAAAGAAAACCTTGTTCTTCTCAAAACAAAATAAGTTTCAAATAGTTGAATTAAAACTTTGGTGTACATTAACATGTTCTTTTAGAAAACAGCTTAAAAACCGCAAAAAGTAAAATGTAGAAGTGTATTTTAGTATTGCTGAGCTTGTGCGTTACAATTAAGTCTTCTAATCTTGTTAAAATATTATTATTAATAGAATAAAATTGAAATATACAATAAATTAGATAATCGAGAGAAAAATATTTTAATAAAGTATGCTAATGCGAAATCTACAACGAAATTAATTTGATTATCAGAATAAATTTATTCAGTCAGCTGGAAATGGTGGTTGCAGGTGCATTTGGTGATTTCCCGCCAATACGAAAATGGCGTTCGTCCAGTGTTATTATGAGTACCCCTCTAGCCCAGCAATGAATGCGCTGCGATCGGCGTCGGGTGCACGCCGCACACCCGGCATACTTTTGTACGGCGCTTTGCATTGATACACGTTGATTAGACGCGCGGTGTCCGCGTGCGTCTCTTTCTCGACGACGTACATATTCAACCCGCTGGCACTTGCAACGGCGCGGCACATGCATCGAGGCGCGCTGGAGCTTGTATGCGTGCGCTAATCGATGACTGTCATTCGTCCGTTCGCTCCGTTCGCACGCTCGCTGTGGATTGTTGTGGATCTCCCGCGCTCCGCTCAGTTCCGCTCGTTTCGTCGCTTCCATCGCTAGAATCGCTAGTTCGACAATCGCTCGTCGCGCGCCATACGCCGTACACGCCGACGACTCGCCGACGTGCCCCGCACGCCTGTCGCCAGTTGTGAGAGGAAAAGCGCTGCGCTGCTCCGAGTGCTTCGAGTGCTCCGCCGCTACCGCCTTGCGCCAGTGCCAGTGAGTGCTCGATGTAAACTGTTTTGAATCGGCTAGGTTACCGATTTCGATTGATGTGAATCGCGCAGCGATTCTTTGCTACCCGTCGACGCGCGAAATACCTACGTTTGTCCGCCGCAATGGAAAAGCGGATAGAATTGGAACGGAGAGGCAAGAATCCAGAAGATGTGAGTATCCGCTTTGATATTTTTGATCATCGCGCGCGCCGCAGAACGCCACCGGAGCAGGAAAATTTCATGCTGGACGGCACCGACCCGCGTGCACCTCGCGTACTGTAATCATAATAATGGATACGAGGATACCGTCCTATCATTTCGCCAAACAACGCACCACCAAAGAACTTTGCGTTACTTTTCGCTACTACGCACATGCACTCAACGCACAAACGCTTTCTTTGCCTCCATAATTATAAAAACCTAATTTCCGCGCTTGATATTTTACGCTGACCTTGAAATTGAGTAAAAATTCGGTTCGGTTGCAGATCAAGGAACTCAACCTGGACAACTGCAGGAGCACAACCATTGTTGGCCTCACCGACGAGTTCTGCAACCTGGAGAGTCTCAGTTTAATTAATGTTGGACTTACATCACTTAAAGGTTTTCCCAAGTTGCCCAATTTAAAGAAATTAGAATTAAGTGATAACAGGTAAGCTTCTTATTTTTGTTATAATAAAAATTAATTTTATTTGTAAATTACAGGATTAACAATGGTCTGAATTTATTATGCACAAGCGCTAAGTTGACATCATTGAATTTAAGTGGCAACAAAATCAAAGATCTGGATACACTTGAGCCACTGAAGGAGTTCAAGCACTTGAGGACCCTGGACCTCTTCAATAATGAGGCGACAAGCATCGAAAATTATCGGGATAAAATCTTCAAAATGATTCCGAACCTGAAATTTTTGGATGGTTACGACGCCGAAGATTGCGAGGGTGAACTTTCCGAGCTGGATAGCGAGGAAGAAGTGAACGGCAACGACGATGATTCCGATGATGATGACGGTAAGCTTAAAAGTCTTTCATAATATTAAATCTAAATTTTGATTGGTTATTTTTAGGAACATCTGATGATGACGATGATGGCGTCGGCTTGAATGCGGTTTACCAAGAGAATCTGGATGATTTATCAGATGAAGAAGACTACGAAGCTGGCGAGGAGGAAGAGGAGGATGAAGATGCCATTGAAGAGGAGGAGGAAGAAGATGCCGATTCGCCGTCTAAAGGTAAGTTTTATAATTGCGTTTATTTCTGTTGTTTTATTATGAATGATTTGTTTATAGCTCACATTAGAGGCAAGAAGAGAAAACACGAAGATGGCGAAGCCGCCGAAAACAATTGAATAACTCGCGTGATTTATATTGAAAGGATAAAAAAGTTGCTCTGAAACGACACTTACAAAAAGAGAATACTTAAGAATAATCATTGGGAGACATGCAGAAAATGTTACATAACAAACAAAAAAACGTTAACTTTTTAAAAATGTAATAAATGCATTATAACGTGACCAATTATTTAAACTATATTAGTTTTTTAAATTGGTGACACATCTATGTACACACACACAACACACACAAACAGAAACATACAAGTGAGATGACACACGTCTGGCTGTGCTACTCTAAATTTGAGAAAATCAAATCAATTAATTCTTCGTAATGAATACCTTCGACTGGAACATGACGCGGTGACATTTTCCACCCTGCCGCGCAAACCAAATTTCCACTCGCAGGTATTCATTTGAGTTGCACTTTGTTGTTTCCTTTAATTCGCTCTTAACAAACGATTTCTAAGTGGCACCGACTTGCACACAAAAGCGTATGGATTCTAAAATGATCGATAAATCCGTGAGATACAGAAATCGCGAACCCCGATTTTGTTTTTTGTTGTTTACCTGTTCTCACAAATGAACTTCCTCAGGCTGATTACAACTGAGGTGTACGTGTTTGGAAGTTGATGTGACAAGAGCGCAAAACCCATAAAGGCATTATAATATTACCATGCGTCAAATTTACGACTTGTGAGAAATTTAAAGAATTTACTACAAAACCTTTGATAAATAATTGAAAATATCTTCAAACTAAAAGCGACATCTCCGATGTGACAGATGATGAATGTAATACTATTAAGTTTTTCATTTTTATGTTGTTTTGTATGCTAGACATGAAATTGTACAATTAATCGAATCGTAGCAGCCAGTGTAATCGTTTTTGTCGTCGAAATTATGACCAGAAGAAGAAAGAAAGGCAAATCATGAGAGTAGTATATGATCTAATGTTGATACTTTTTGCGCTTCAATGTTTTGTAAAAGTGCATCAAGTCGATTTTAATTTTTAATTTTAACATAATATCTATCGTTATATTCTAACCGTATAAGTGATTTTGGCAGACGAAGTTAATCGCGAAAATCGCCCAATATTTGCATTCTAACTTTCTCGGTTGTCCGCCGTGCGCCGTTTTGTTCTGCATGCAATTGATGCAAAGGAAAAATTCTAGAGCAATCTATGATTAATTTGATGCCGAATACAAAGAATGTTTACAAGAGCACGTTTTTATTCTTACAGTAGCTTGTCTATTCATTATCAAACAAGTTGATTCATTGTATCATTCTTTATATTTTTGTTAGTTAAGTGTAAGTGCTTGGATTTGACACATTTAAAACAATTGAAAATAAAAGAGTATTTTGAAGATAAAAATTACAAAAGAATAAACAAATGAGAAATGTTTTAAATGAAAGTAAATAGAGCGTTAGTTTAAAGATAACGGAATTATATTTTTCAAATTCCTTCCTTTCCCTGTGGGAGCAGGAAGAAAACTATGCTTCATGTGTATGTTCATAGTACATATCAAACACATTAACCGTGTATAACGGGGTAGGTACTTCATCCATTCGCATTGCTAGCGACTTCAAGTTGTGACATTTGAAGGATTGAGTAAAAACCCGCGAAAATTAACTTTTGAGGTTATTTATAGCATAACTTAACTTCTCAAGTTTATCAAAATAAATATAATTTGCAGGTTTCATCAACTAATTTAAAATGAGTGAGTGTTCTCCAGAAGTTTTCCAGCCACGGAGGAGTTTGAGACCGAGGAAAAGCACGGCAAAAGCTTTGGATTTTGATGCATTTAGTTCATACAGATCACCCAAAAAATCCTGCAGACCAGCCTATTCGGAAACATCTGAAGATTCTGATGATGATTCATGTGATAATATTCAACAGACTGATACAGGTAAATTAAAAAATGTTTTGTAAGCTTTAAGTTGGTTCTAATAATTAAATTTTAAATTATTGTTCAATTATTCCATTAACATATTCATTTATTTGAATATATAGTTAGGTATATTATGAATAATTTGTTTTTCTATGAGTTAGACATGTTTTGCACAATATCCGTGTAGTTAAGTATTTAAAAAATTTAATTAATTGGGAAAACTGTTTTTTTAGAGCTATATTGCTACATATTAAAGCAACATCATTTAAACTATCATTAATTATTTAATCTTATGAAAAACATGACAAATTCTTTTACTAATTTCAATTTATTTTAATTTAGTTTCCACAAATTCTGCAATTGCTGGCAAAGATATCTACAGTTTCAACAAAGTGAAGAAACATGAGCGCTTATTGTCAACGCCACAAAAAGGAAGTAGAGACAAACCACTTTTACCAAAAACTCCTTACCAATTTCGTCAAAAATTGGGAAAAGGAATTAAATCTTCAATGAGAAATCTATCCAGTGATGAGGAACCGTTTGCTGAAAGCGCTAGTGACTATTCTCCTTCAAATTCATCCTCTTCAGACCCAGATGAAGAAGAAGATGAAGTTAATATTACTCAAAGTGATTCTGATGAAAGTGAGCATGAACAACCGAAATCTCAAGCAAGATATGAAACCAGGAAATCCATCAATACAAAAATCAAATCAACAGCAAACACAAAATCCGCACATAATTACATCATTAAAACAGAGGAATACTTTTCACATTCCAATAACAAAGTAGTAACATCAAATCATACATTAGACAAGTTGAAAACACCAAGACTCAATCAAGATCAGCTGCAAAAGCTGCTTTCTCACATGAAACTCTCAAAAGTTCACCAGAAAGCTGTTGTTAAAACAACTGAAAACAGCAAAGAGAACTTTAGCAAATGGTTATGCTTATTGCATGAAAATTTTAACATATTACTCTATGGACTAGGCTCCAAAAAGAAATTGCTTAACGATTTCCACACTGAAGTTCTATGCGATCATCCAGTTATTGTTATAAACGGTTTTTTCCCAAGTTTAACATTGAAAGACATTTTGGATGCTATTGCTATTGATCTTATGGGTTTAAACGAAAATTCTGCGAACGTGTACGACACCGTTGATGCCATCTCTCGGGAAATTCAGTACATGGACACACATATTTATATCATCGTACATAATATCGAGGGAGACATGTTGAGGAACCACAAGAGTCAAAATGTGCTTAGCAGACTTAGTGCTATTCCCAAAGTACATTTGATTGCTTCGATTGATCACATCAATGCTCCTTTAAGTAAGTTTATGATTTTAATTTAGTCAATGTTTAATTTCATTTTTTTGTTTGATTTTCAGTTTGGGATCATAATAAATTAAGTCAGTTTAACTTCGCATGGTTTGATGTGACTTCCTTCTTGCCGTACATGGATGAAACATCTTTTGAAAGTTCCATGATGGTTCAACGCACTGGAAACTTAGCTTTATCTTCATTGCGTAACGTGTTTTTATCATTAACATCAAATTCAAAGGGCATCTACATGATTATTATAAAATATCAGTTGGAACACAACACCAATCAGTATTATCAAGGTTTATTGTTCAAAGATTTGTATGCAGCTTGTCGTGAAGCTTTTCTGGTCAGCTCAGATTTGGCGTTGCGCGCGCAGTTAACTGAATTTGTTGATCACAAAATGGTCAGGTTGAAGCGGTCGGCGGATGGAGCTGAGTACTTAGTTATTTCGATCGCAAACAATTTGTTGCAACAGTTTTTGAGTGAACAGGGCCAGTAAATTTTGTTTTAAAATAAAAACTAATTTTACAATCATACATTTTGAATTTATTACGACTGTATGCAACCAAGTGTTCTATGGTTCGTTTATACTCGTGCGGCAGAGGGGAGGGGTCGGGTTAACTCGGTGGCGGATCTTCCGTTCATGCGGCCATTTGTAATATTGTTCTTTTCTCGGCGTGTCATGGTGGAGTAGAAGGTATGTTATAAACTTTTCCCGATTTTATTAGTTTTTAGTTAATTTAATACATCAAGAAGAAGATATATTTGTTTGTGATGGTCGTGATTAGTTCTAATATTAAATTCACGTAATATTACTCCGAATAATTCGTTCATTCCGCAATGAAGATTGAAGTTGTTACAAGGTGAGATACCGCGTGCTTTACGAGTACTCTAGCCTGCAATTCGAGTCTTACATGTGACTTCAGATTTATTATGAAAATAATATTTTGATTCGGTATGCTTTCCGCGTTAGTTATTACGGTATTATGTATTGTAATTTTACTTGTTGAAGTGTGTTTGTTGTCTCAATGAATATGACTATTATGGTCAGATGTGTATCAAGGTAAGTGCAACGTTTGTATATGAGTGTAATAGTCATATTCAAAGAGCAGTTAATAATAACTAATTTGAATGTGACTATACACACAGTGGGAATTAATAATTGCACTCTGTTGCAGTACATTTTAACTACACATCACCATGCCACAGAACGAATATATTGAGCGTAGCACCAAGCTGCATGGTCGGCGCTTGGATTATGAAGAACGTAAACGTAAAAAGGAGGCTCGCGCCCCGCACAAACGCGCTCAAGTTGCACGTTCTTTGAGAGGTATCAAAGCTAAGATCTTCAATAAAGAACGTCGCAATGAGAAGATTCAAATGAAACGCAAGATTAAGGCGCATGAAGAAAAGAAGGTCAAGAAAACTACTGAGAAGGTTGCTGAAGGTGCTCTGCCAGTCTATCTCCTCGACCGCGATGTTCAATCACGGGCAAAGGTTTTGTCTAACATGATAAAGCAGAAACGCAAGGAAAAAGCTGGTAAATGGGATGTTCCAATTCCAAAGGTGCGCGCACAGGCCGACGGAGAAGTCTTCAAAGTAATACAATCAGGCAAAACGAAGCGGAAAGCTTGGAAACGTATGGTCACAAAGGTGACCTTTGTTGGTGAAGGTTTCACGCGTAAACCACCAAAGTTCGAGAGGTTCATCAGACCCATGGCGTTACGTTTCAAGAAGGCGCATGTTACACATCCAGAATTGAAGGCAACTTTTTGCCTGCCCATCATTGGCGTTAAGAAAAATCCCAGCTCACCTATGTTCACCAGTTTGGGTGTCATCACCAAGGGCACTGTGATCGAAGTTAACATTTCCGAATTAGGTTTAGTAACACAGGCTGGTAAAGTTGTTTGGGGCAAATACGCTCAGGTGACGAACAATCCTGAAAACGATGGGTGTATTAATGCTGTACTTCTAGTGTAACTGAATGAACTCAAAATAATTATTGTCTGATTTAATAAAACAAATGCCTTCTTAGTGGTGTGGCTATTATTTCATCATGTTATCCTGTTAGTTAATTTTTATTGTTTTATTTTATTTCAATTTATTAAAATGTTTTTGTGATTTTGCAGCTGATACGCCACAATGCAGATTTTCGTAAAGACACTCACCGGTAAGACCATCACCCTCGAGGTCGAGCCGTCTGATACTATCGAGAATGTCAAGGCTAAGATCCAAGACAAGGAGGAATTCCTCCAGATCAGCAACGTCTGATCTTCGCCGGTAAGCAGCTGGAAGATGGCCGCACCCTGTCCGACTACAATATCCAGAAGGAATCCACGTTACACTTGGTGTTGCGCCTTCGTGGTGGTGCCAAGAAACGCAAGAAGAAGAATTACTCCACCCCCAAGAAGATCAAGCACAAGAAGAAGAAGGTCAAGCTTGCAGTGCTTAAATATTATAAAGTAAGTTGAAATTAGTTTATTTAAAACAGTGTTTATAATAATTTTGCGTGTAACAGGTTGATGAGAATGGCAAGATCCACCGATTGAGGAGGGAATGCCCCGGCAAGCAGTGTGGCGCTGGCGTGTTCATGGCTGCAATGGAGGACCGTCACTACTGCGGCAAGTGCGGTTACACCTTAGTTTTCTCCAAGCCCGAGGATAAATAAGTGAGGAATATGTTATTGTATAAAAACATAAGAAAATAAACACTTGAGATAAATAAATTGTTTCAAGGTTTGAGGAATATGGAAATATTTATTCCAATACTAATATTTATTATTATATATTTACAATTTCTTTAGACACTTCGAACATCATCTTTCGGAACTGATTTCTATCATATTTGATTATTAATAGCATCTGTTTTACATGATATACAAATGCAACAAGCACAAAATTATTACAGAACAAACTGGAGGAGCTCCTTCAAAAGTTTAAAACTGCAATATCCCAAACACTGAGTTCTGCAAAAAAAGATTAAGCACAATCTGCTCACAAATCTTTTTTTATGCATTAATTTATTTTTTGTGCATTTTTACTGATAAAAACCTTGCGCAAAATAATTATCACTTATTAATTGATAAAAATGTATCTTGTGTTGAATTGATATACAACATTAAGACAGAGTACGCAAATTTATACACCTGAAAAAATTACTATTTATATAAATGCGTAACTTACAAATATTTATTATTGATTACACACCGATAGTGCCAGTGCATTGGAACAAATTGCATAATTCCCAGCTGGCAAATTGAATCCTTTTCTAGAATTCAAATTCATAAAAAGAAGGTACTTGACACTTTCTATATCTCCATCCCAAGGACAAGCATAAAACGTGGAGTTTCGAATTTTATCTCCCTGAAATAAAGGTGTAATATTATAAAGGAAACATATTTAACTTTAGTTGTTAAATACAAGACTAATTAAATTTTCGCCTAGTGTGCCAACAAATATTGTCCCCACCAGGTACAAGCTAAGATGACAAATCGATAGAATCTCAAAATGCTGAAAAGTTTGTAAAAATAAGTGTAAAGTAAGAGAAGTAATTCGAAGTAAATTACAATCAACTCTGATATCAGAATCAACGCTATTTCCATACCACTGGACACAATGTGTAGTAACATACCCCACTTGTAAAGATTTACTACCTTTTTCCAAAATCTGAATTACATTAAGAACAAATTGTTTTTTCAATTGAATACTGCTATAATTGACTTACCTAAGCATAAATATGTGATGTTTGTATGCTATCATCAGCTTAAACCGACGTATGTTCCAATCTTTAGTACGTTTGACATCACCAAGGGTTGATTCAAGCACCACTACGAACATTTCTAAATACGTGTACATCGTATAAAGTAATGAAAGTACCGTCAATGTACCTATTCCTTCATATATTATAAAAAACAAAATGAACATGTTGTACAGGGTACGGTAAGGTGAGTTTATTAAATCGATAAAAAAATACTGAAAGCAGAAAGCATTTGATTGATAGTAACAAATTAATATTTCAGTTATCACTCACACTGGGCATCAGGTATCCACACGAGTGTGATTTTATATCGCAGTTTTGCAATTCAACAAAGACGAATGTTGCCAAAACAAACAAACAAATATAGACATATATCCATGTTAGCAGACGGTTTTGCCAATTGATTTTCTTTACAAATGGTGTATCTTTTACAATAAAATGTAAATTGTTTTCCAGCTCTTGGATTAAGACGATAATGGATCTCATATTAGTCTTGATTGTATAGATACTGTAGAAACAAAAGGTGGCCGATAGCAGCATTCCTAGATTAACTGAATAGTTTTCAAATGCTCTGCCATCATGGATTTGCTTGATCACGTAGCCCAAATTACCAAAGTAAAATAATAACATGCTAAGCCAGAATATAATTTCTCTGGCAAGAACGGCAATTGAATTTGGGTGATACCAATAACATTTATCCAGTATTTTGATGCCAAACACATGTTTTAAACTGCTTGTTGAATTATCTTGGGAAATAGGAGTGTCGTATTTCATTTTGAGTACTTTAGTAAGCAATGATATGGGTCTGACTACCAGTGGAATCATTTTCCAATAATGAATAGATCAAAAGTACCACGAAAAGAAACTAATATTAACGCATTTTATGGATTATTAACAATGGCTCATAAATAAATAACGATTATGTACTATCACGTTAATGCTAATATTAAAATAATTAGTCACAAAATGCGATAAATTAAACCGAACATTTACAAATGATTAAAATTGAAGTACGCTGCAATGCGAAGATACGATATCATTAAGGAGGCTGTGCGAAAGACATGTTACGCAAACCACTTTCAAATGTATATATCGCGAGAGTGAATTTATAAGATGTGACATTGCCACCACCCCCACAATTACCCGGGAAGTGCCTCAAAGTCGCCTTCAAACTTTTACGATATCTTAGAATTTTCGCAATACCCAATGGAAATTGGGCTGTTACTCGAGAATCGTTGGGGCGAATTATGATTTAATGTTGGATTCAGCCTTGTAAAACCCTGTATAAAACTGCTACACATGCGCGCCAGAGTATTTGAAACACTTTGTGTTTTTGTGAAGTACCAGAAAGTGTCCCCAGATGGCGCGGCCATGCAGGTTTAACTAAAATATTACAGAGAGTGAATTTTGTTTTGTTACATCGGCGCGATAACGACGAGCACACATTCCACACTTTCAGCTTGTGTTATTCTTTATTATTAGTTTGGTAAATCGCGTTTTATTTCCTGATCGCCGGTGATAATTAGTGTTAATAAACATGTTTGATCTATTGGCAGTTATTTATCGCGTGTGTAATCCTCGTAATTCTAAATTTTGCGTGTTTAATTTATTCAAGTGTTTGTGAATCCGTTGCCGTCGGCCGACGCACGGCCATGTTTGATGATCATGGGCTAATATGCTACCTGGTAAATATTGTCATTTCTATCATTATTATGTTTATTATGTTTATTATTATGTTTTGTTTCTCCTTTATTTCAGTATCTATCAATAGGCTGTCAATTTACCGGGTTCGATAGACCGGTAAGTAAATTATTTCATAGATTGTGTTTGCCCTGAACCTAGATTTTAGTTTAGTTCAGTTTAGAATTAGTTAAATCGAATTTTAATCCAACATTAATTTCATTACTATATCTAAATTGTGAACTGAAAATCATAAAATAGTCATGTATTGTTTATTTATCGACAAACGTAGGCATTTCGCACGAGAATTGTGTTTGTTTTGAACACAACTCACACTTTCTTACCGCATTCGCTGCCGAAATGCAGCGCATGAGATCCCCTCACGCCGCACGTTGCCGCATCTTAGTTTTGTTTTGATCGCAGATAACGTGCTAAATGTAATTCGCGCACAAGGTCTCGGGCCGTCGACGTGCCGGCTTTGCGCACCTCTTACTTTCTTATCATAAACTGTCACCTCGTTGCTTGCACAGTTTGCAGCCAGTTTCGTGTCGGTACCTAGTTAATCCAGACGTATTTTACGCGACTCGTATTGTTCGTACGGACTTCCACTCTCCAAATTTGCATTACATCATCAATCGACTATTTAATTTTAATTCGTGACGAAAGTAAAAGTATTTCTTTTGCGTGCTGCTTATTTTCTATAAAATGTCGGTTTAGTGTATTCCCTTCATGTTGATTTGATAGTATTAGGGATGACCACCAGTTGGTGTAAGTACTGATACTTTAATTAAACAGCACATATTGTTTGTTTTTTCTCCACTGTGTGATTATTATAATAAATTCCTGTATGAAATATTTTTTGTTTTACTTACGTTTCTTACGTTCTTTTATTTACCGTGGCTTGGGAGTCCTACATGAGTTTGCATTGGTATGTTTACAATTCAATTATGTATTTCTGTATTAATTTCTGCAGGTCGTACATTGTTTGTATTTCCGTTGTTTTGTTTTATCGGGTTCCACCGCGCGCGCTGCGTCAGACTGTGATAGTATTTATAAAATATATTTATTAATATAATTTGTGATTTTCTTGGATTTTACAGTTTTGTTTGCGAGTTTTACATGTTTCGCCCTGTGGGCATCATCAGAAACTTCTGAAAGTTCACAAATTATATTCATAAATATATTTTATAAATTACTACCATGGATTACGTATTCAACTTAGAAAATAATAAAATTATTTTTTCATGTTTTAAATTTTTATAACATGATATTTGTTTCTTTGTGGGAGCTTGGTATTACGTATTTCCAGCAGACATTTTGTGATTAATACAAATTGCAAAACACCGTTTTAATAGTTAATGTAAAATCTTTAAATCTTTTATTAAATTTAATAATTTAAATTCCGGGACTCCTCTCTGCTGTATCATTCAAAGATGGCTCAAGCATGAACGTGGAATTCTTATCGCTTCGGCCGTATGGAATGCATCGCATGAGATTCCCAAGTGTCGTCGTTGCAAACCCCTCACGCCGCATGCAGCATATTCTAGTTTAGTTTAGATTGCGAGTATTGTGCCTATTGTAATTCGCGCACAAGGTCGAGTACCATCGACGCGCCGCCGCCTTTGCGCATCTCTTGCTTTCTTATCGTAAACTGTCGCGTAGCGTCGTTGCTTGCTCGGCTACGGCGTGCACTATCCGCGGATTGCGCTTAGTGTCGTGCCGGTCCATGGTTAATCCAGACGTGTTTCTCGCAACTCGTATCGTTTGTTCGTACTTGTGCTATTTAAATTTGCATTATATTCGATCCTCAATAGACGATTTAGTTTTAACTTGCGACTACAATAATGTTATTTACTATTTGCATCTTTATTGTCCGTAAATGCCGGTTAGGTGTATATTGCAACTCACAAGTCGTCGAGTTGCTAAGTGCATCAGCCCCTGTCGGACTATTGGAACGCATAAAATACTGGTATGGTATTATTACTTGCTTCTTCTATACATTCGTGCTCGTTGCACGTACGCCTTTTTAATCATTTCGCGCGAACGGCGTCACATATACTTGACCGGCATGACGAGTGATGCGGAATTAAATTCTCCGTCGGGTGGTATTTGTTTGTTGCAGGAATTCAACCTGTAACCCGCGAAAATTTGCATAAAAGGGTGATTTTTGTCACCCTTTCTCGTGAAATGTTTGTATTTTTTCGTGTTTGCGCGTGATCTAGGCGGCTCACTAATTTCAGCGTGGCGTCCAGAGATGCGGAATTAAATTCTCTGTCGGGTTGTATTTCTTTGTTGCAGGAATTCGACCGGTAACCCGCGAAAATTTGCATAAAAATGTGATTTTTGTCACCCTTTCTCGTGAAATGTTTGTATTTTTTCGTGTTTGCGCGCGATCTAGGCGGCTCACTAATTTCATCGCGGCATCTAGAGATGCGGAATTAAATTCTCTGTCGGGTTGTATTTGTTTGTTGCAGGAATTCGACCTGTAACCCGCGAAAATTTGCATAAAAGGGTGATTTTTGTCACCCTTTCTCGTGAAATGTTTGTATTTTTTCGTGTTTGCGCGCGATCTAGGCGGCTCACTAATTTCATCGCGGCGTCCAGAGATGCGGAATTAAATTCTCCGTCGGGTTGTATTTGTTTGTTGCAGGAATTCGACCTGTAACCCGCGAAAATTTGCATAAAAGGGTGATTTTTGTCACCCTTTCTCGTGAAATGTTTGTATTTTTTGTGTTTGCGCGCAATCTAGGCGGCTCTCTATTTTCAGCGCGGCGTCAAGAGATGCGGAATTAAATTCTCCGTCGGGTTGTATTTGTTTGTTGCAGGAATTCGACCTGCAACCGGCGAAAATTTGCATAAAAGGGTGATTTTTGTCACCCTTTCTCGTGAAATGTTTGTATTTTTTCGTGTTTGCGCGCGATCTAGGCGGCTCACTAGTTTCACCGCGGCATCTAGAGATGCAGAATTAAATTCTCTGTCGGGTTGTATTTGTTTGTTGCAGGAATTCGACCTGTAACCCGCGAAAATTTGCATAAAAGGGTGATTTTTGTCACCCTTTCTCGTGAAATGTTTGTATTTTTTCGTGTTTGCGCGCGATCTAGGCGGCTCACTAATTTCATCGCGGCATCTAGAGATGCGGAATTAAATTCTCTGTCGGGTTGTATTTGTTTGTTGCAGGAATTCGACCTGTAACCCGCGAAAATTTGCATAAAAGGGTGATTTTTGTCACCCTTTCTCGTGAAATGTTTGTATTTTTTCGTGTTTGTGCGCGATCTAGGCGGCTCACTAGTTTCACCGCGGCATCTAGAGATGCGGAATTAAATTCTCTGTCGGGTTGTATTTGTTTGTTGCAGGAATTCGACCTGTAACCCGCGAAAATTTGCATAAAAGGGTGATTTTTGTCACCCTTTCTCGTGAAATGTTTGTAATTTTTCGTGTTTGCGCGCGATCTAGGCGGCTCACTAATTTCATCGTGGCGTCCAGAGATGC